GTTAAGACACATACAAACTTATCTGATTTTTTTGATGTTTCGCTTGGATTAAAGCAAGGGGAACCACTCTCGCCCATACTTTTTATATTGTTCGTGAATGATGTTACCGTAAACCTTGATTTTAATGCGCTGTCAGAAGCGGATTTAAATTATCTGAATATTTATATGTTACTATTTGCAGACGATATGGTGGTATTTACTACAAATGCACAAAGTCTCCAAGCGCAGCTAGATAGTTTATACGTATATTCTGTTAAATGGAGTCTGAAAATAAATGTTAAGAAAACAAATATTTGTGTATTTAGAAAAAGAAAAACAAAAATTGATAATAATTGGTTTATTAATGGTGAGAAAATAGAAGTTGTAGAAACATTTTGTTACCTTGGAGTTAACTTTAAGTATAATGGGTCTATGAATGATGCAATGAAATCTTTATCAGAGCACGCATTAAAAGCTGTAAACAGCCTGTATTCAATCTTCTCAAGAATAAAGTTTGATGTTAAGACTAAACTGTTGCTGTTTGACAGGATGGTAGAACCAATACTACTATATTGTGCTGAAGTTTTTGGTATTTACAATACAGATGTTCTAGATAGAATTCAAAAGAAGTTATGTAAAAAGATTCTAGGTGTTAAAATGTCTACACCAAATATGGCTGTACTTGGAGAATTGGGAAGATATCCGATATCTATCTTATGTAAAGAGAGAGTTTTGAACTATTGGGTGAAATTAAACAGAAATAAAAGTTCGCTTATTTATAACATTTTTCAACTGCAATATCAAGAAATATACAATCAAAATTGCATATTATGGGCAAAACATGTTAAATCTCTTCTAGATTCTCTCGGGTACGGCTATATTTGGTACAATTTCAACGATGATATTTCTATGAGTATCTTAAAGTGCAGATTAAGAGATCAGTTTAAACAAGAATGGAGTGGTTCTATTCGTAGTATGTCTAAACTTGATTATTATGTGAAATTTAAGGAAGAATTTGGTTATGAAAAATATCTTGATTTTATTGAAAATGACTATTTGAGAAAACTATTTACATGTTTCAGATTATCAGCGCACTCGCTAGCTATCGAAACTGGGAGATTAGAGGAACTGATAGAATAAATAGAATTTGTAGATATTGCAATTGTAATGTCATTGAGTCAGAGTACCACTTTCTTATGACCTGTCAAAAATATTCAAATATTCGTACCAAATACATGCCACATATTTCGTGGCCAAATCTTAATTTGTTCAACCGTATGATGGGTTCAAATAAAAAGAAAACTGTATTGAATATGTGTAAATATCTTAAAGAAGCATATACTGTTAGAAACGATGTCTTATAAATGTACACTTTTTCTGATCACTATGAATATATATGTATATGTGTTGATAAATATTGTTTCATATAAAATTGATTTATATGTTTGTATATATGATCAATATTTGAAGTATTTTTTCTGTTCATTAGCCAAAGGCAAGTTTTTGTCGATATTTGCTAATAAAAGTTGTTGTTGTTGTTGTTTATATTAGACAGTGTAATTTGGTATAAAATATTGTCATTATAGCTAATGTTTTTATACTCAATTTCATTACAATAAGATATTAGTATTATTATAGTATTATGGTAATGCAAAGTGACATTTTATTTATAGGATTTTTTTATTGATGATATTAGATAGCGTTATCATAGTTAAAAGATATTTGATAATGTTACTGCTGTTATAAGATATTGGATAGTCTTCTTATCGTTGTAAGACAGTAGATAGTTATTAATTTTAAATACTAGCTAGTGTAATTATAGTAAGAGGATACTAGAAAGTGTAATCATAAGTAAAAGATAATGTATGATTCAATACTATTTCTGAGACAGTGTTTTCGTTTCGTCTCTGTTTAAAAGTTCATCTTCTATCTTATTTTGAGAGAGCTTAAATTGTTTTCTTCAATGGAAAATTGGAAAATAAATATTTCGAATCAAATCTGGATCACTTTGTACAGTACGCCGAGCTATGGTACAATTTCACTTAAACGGCACCTGTTTATCCGGGCTATATTTAGCTCCCGCCAAATACGTTATTATGTGATCAGCGAAATGTAAACAATGGTTATTGGAAACAATATCATCGGTCTTGAAAATGAACATATATCATTAAAGTAAGTTGACGCCAATTATATTTTTAATCTACAATAATGAACATGTTGCAAATAGGATTAGCATGATAATTTAAAATTCTAAATGGACACGCCACAATAAAAAGCCTTAGTAAAAGCAGGATAAATAGGTGCGGTTTAGGTCATTTAAAAAAGAAATTATGTGCATTGTTGTAAAATGTTATCTTGTAAGAAATAAATGTGTTTTAAAACAAATTAAATCACAAATTCATATTTCTAGTGACTAGTGCTGAAGTACAAAAGAACAGTGTATACTATGTTAGTATGTACTGTAGAGGGAGGGGGTCAGTGTAAATCGATACTGTATGTGAAATGCTAATTTTGAATTTTTATAAAAAAATACATGGATATACAATGAAATTTGATTTATTTTCCCTATTCATAAAAAGAAACTTTCAATTTTACCTGTTTAATGGCATATTTTGTTTGTTGACAAAGACAACTTGAGAACGGTACGGATTTTAGCTATTAACGTGGTCACGTGACTTCGACGGAAGTAAACTGCACCAGAATAATGTAAATAAACGAACCTGTGACCTAAATTGGATATTCTAGTAAACATTTTCAGATTTTCAAATAGAAATACTATTTTACGCCGAGCATTGGTATACGCCGAGCATTGGTCCACCCTCTCTAGTTATAGAATAATATAGTTTTATTTTAGTTATACGAGATTGTTATTATAGTTATAGAATATTATAATAGTTTTCTTTTAGTTGTAACAGATTGTTATTAAAATTTATAGAACATTGCAGTTTTCTAGCATTTATAAGAGAATTTTATTATAGTTAAATGATATTATAGTTTTCTTTTAGTTATAAACAGAACAGAACATAGGTTTATTAATAAATCGTATGCGAACAGCATATTGATTAAACAATAATATTTTACATGCATGCATAAAAGTATGTAATGAGAGCATATACAATAATGAATCAATGTATCAAAGATAAATACAAAGTCTACATATTTTCGATAGATTTGAGATATTCGGCTTTGCTATTTCTGACCATTCATATACAATTATGATAACGAAAATGTCAAAACTTGGTAATTGTTATTTCATATGACACAGTATTTAAGTTAAGTATTTTAATTAACTATTTGTATTTAAGAGAGTCTTTCTTTCTTCAAATGCTTTGATTAGATATTTTGCCAGTCTGTATAAAATTTGCACATCACTGGATGATAATAAATCAATGAATTTAATCATATTTGGCCTTGTTCTGTACCAATGTGGTATGTACTGTCTTCTAATGTTATTATACACCGGACATTCTAATATGAAGTGGAATTCATCTTCTATTGTTCGTTGAAGACATAATTTACACATACGCTCGTTCCTAGGAATGTTCCTATGCCTACCTTGTTCAATTTCAAGGCAATGAGAGGACAAACGTATTTTTGTTATTACATTTCTATATTTCTTATTTTCCATCAATGTTAAATAATCTGCCATTCCAAAGTTTTGTTTAATACTATTAAATAACATGATACTTGGGCTACTTCGCGTACACACTCTCCATTCACTAACATATATGTCATAACATCTTCGTTTGAATATTGGTATAAACGCGTTAATATCTACCGAACGTGGATATAGCCATACTTCCCAAAGCCACATACATCAAGTAGTTTCTTCACTTTTGAGGCCCAGTTTTGCAGTCCATTTTCAGCTGTTTGTAACATAGATTCGTACACATTCCATATTTATACAGTTCCGTTGTCCGTTGTGTAAAAGTTTCAACCAAAATTTTACAATTCGAACTTTTCTGTTAAGAACTAGTGGATGTCTACCCGTTTCACCGTATATGCCATGGCTACTTGTCGATAGTTTCACATTTAGGACTCGCTTAATGAATTTTCGGTGTACACGTTCTATTACTTCTGCGGATGAAAAACCCCATATTTCAGCACTATAACAAAGAATAGAAGTAACATATGCGTCGAATAGGTTGAATTTTATCTTAACTGGCATTTCTATGTCTTTTGTTACCGATAGTAAATTGTTCATGGATTTTATAGCCTTTGATGCAAGGGCATCAATGCCCCGTTTCGCCGAACCATTACTGCTTAGTACGTAGCCCAGATAGTTGAAAGATTCGACGATAAGATAGTATTATTATAGTTATAGAATATAAGACAGTGTTTTATTATAGTTATAGGATATAAGATAGTGTAATGATGTACATGTATTTAAGGGATATGAGATAGTAGTATCATAGTTATAAGACGTTAGAAAGTATGGAATTATAGTTATAAGATATACGATTGTGTAATTATAGGTATAATAGAGAGTGTTAGTATGGCTATAAAATATTAGTTGTTGTTATTACAGTTTTGGGATATTGGAAAATGTAATTATACGTGTAGTTAAAAGACATGAGATAGTGTAATACGAATATAAGATGGTGTTCTTATAGTTATAAGGGATAGAGTTATAATGTTTATAAGGTATTAAGAAATGTTATTATAAATATAATATATAAAAAAGTGTTATCATGGTTATAAGATATAAGTTAGTGTTTTTATAGCTGTAGGATATTAGATAGTTTTATAATACTGGTCTAAAGATATTATGAAACATAAGATAGATTGATTATAGCTTGAATATATAATATAGTGTGATATTATAGTTATAAGATAATATATAGTGTTATTATTGTTATAGCATATAAAGTAGTGTTATTATAGTTGTAAGATATCAGATAATGTCATTATAGCTATAAGATATTAGATAGTCTTGTACAGAATAGAAAACTGTTAAATACTCATGCACTTCTAATTGATAAACAAGTTAACCATGTGAATTGATTTAACTTTGATAATAATGCCAAACTTTGATAGTACTAGAGTATACAGACAGAAAATATTGTGAAAATGTAGAAAGCGTTGGATGCTATTCAACAAAGATGTAACAATATTTTAGTTGCTGGGTGTATGTCAGGGTGGCTTCGTCATGGCAATAAGTGTTATCATTTCAGTCATGATAAGGAATCATGGATCAATGCTCTTGTAAGTAACCAAGTTTATCATAACACTTACTGTAAGTTTGATCATTAATGGAAAGTTTATCAGACCTCTCCACAGTGCTGAGAATGATTGCATTGTGAAGTGAGCAAATCGTTAAATGGAAAAATTGGAAGATACTAAAAAATTACCTAACATTTAACACTACGAACAGTGGTTATTTATCACTTGATTAGGTTTGCAATCATGTATGTCAAAGTTAAGATATCTAGGGGCATCGTGACCTAGTGGTAAAGGTCATTGACTTCAAACCACTTGCCCCTGACCGCTGTGGGTGCGAATCCCGACAGGGACTTTGGATTCCGTCATGTGAAGAAGCTATCTAGTTGGCTTAAGGAACGTCGGTAGTTCTATTCAGGTGCCCGTTCGTGTCTGAAATAATGCATGAAAGGGCACCACAAGACTGAGGTCTTCCTCCACCAGTAAAAGTGGAAAACCGCCCATACTGTGTTGGTGCAACTTAAAATCAAAAACAAAAAATAAGATTTGCTAATTAAGAAATAATATGTCAGCCACGTTTTAGTTTAAGTCAAAATTCCTCTATCTTTAAAGTCAAAATAGTGTTATCTAAACTATCATGACATCCAACATGTATCATAGATATATTGACAAGGCCGATAGAGTTCCATGTGTAGATTTTATCATACTGCTAACTGCTTCTAAATGTACTGATAAAATAAATTACACATTGTAAAATGCAAAAACGAAATTCCAAAAATAGTTTTTTTAAATTAACAAAAAAAAAGCCTTACCGGGAAAACATATGTTTGGCAAAGAAAATCCCAAATTGAATACGGAACCTAAAGTTTTTATGAAAAAACAAAAAAACTAAAACTTTTTGAAAATTTTAAAAGTCTGTATGAAAAAATGGGAATCATAAAAGTGAAAAAAATGTAAAAAAGGGAAGATATGAAAGAAGGGGAAATTAAAAGCGAAAAAACAGTGTTAAGACCAAGTTCTGTCAGATTCCTGGGACAAATTATTGGTTAGCTTTCCCTATGAAAAATTGAATTATCGACCCTCCTGCCATAAGTATTAAAAATTTAAATATGGGGAATTTTTTGAATTTTGGGGTAACGCTTTTCCCTTTTAAAATTTTAAATTTCCAAAATTGGGGCCCGATCTGAACAAAATTTTGGGAAGGGAGGAAATTTTAATTAAAATCTTCTCAAAGAATGCAGTGTATAGCTGTCAATTCCTTCGGAGCCATTTTACGCATGCGTAAAACCTCGCTTGTCTACAATGTATTCAATTCCAATTTAACATAAAGTGCATTGACATTACACTGTCAAAGCAACCAAGTCATGAAAACAATTCAATGTCCCGAACGGGAAAAGGGCAAGTGATTTGAAGACCATTCGTCCATGGACGCCCCTGTTGTTCTTCTTGTTGTTGTTTTTCTTGATAATACCAACAACAGATGTTTGTTATAAACCTCTGTTTTTCAGAATATGTGTAAATTGTTTGGCGGAAACCTGGTCGAAGTAGAAACAGCGACTGAAAATAGCTACATAGCAGCTATTGTCAAACTCCGTGGACGTTAGTAATTTCTCTTTTAATGATAATGTTCCTAAAGAAATTGGCAAAAAACGCTTTTAAAAAACGCTTGTAAATACGTGCATGGATAAACCATATGATCAAAATACATATATGTATATTTAGTTTTGTTTTCTTGAATGTATTATAATTTTAGTTAGATATATGTCACTATCTTCTTTAATTTCTTGAAAAATCATACAATCGTTTGATGTAACAATTGAAAAATCATTTGCCCCTCACCTCCTTGGGTTCGAATCCCGCCAGGGACTTTGGTTTCCTTCATGTTAGAAAGCTCTGCAGCTATAGCTACGGAACGGTGTGGCAACAATTGCAAAGCTGGAAGGTCGCAATATGATATATACTGTGTTAACCTTCGCTCCCCAACTCCAAACCCAGGCACAAACCTACTAAAAATACACCCCCCGCAAAAATGACAAATAGAAGAATTTCGATTGTTAATCTATCTAATGATGATATATTTACCTTATCAGTAGAATACTGGATTGGACTTACTGATGTCTTCGAAGAAGGTATATGGCTTTGGATATCAAATAAAAACCAACTTTCTGACAGCGGTTATGTTAACTGGAGACATGGCGAGCCAAATAACGAAAGATCTAACGAAAACTGCGCTGAAATGGAAACTTCTGGATTGTGGAACGACGACTCTTGCGATAAGTCTCAACACTTCATTTGCGAGACTGTAAACAGGTAAGGTTTTTGAGAAAAGAAATTATTTCAGTAAACCGTCGTAAACTAATGTTTAGTTTTTGGTTTGTTTTTTTTCGCGAAAAATAAAAAATAAAATGCCATTTTGATTAAAAGTGACATAAAGCCCATCCTAGAGTACATACAATGTAGTTAGTGATCATTTGAAAATCAAAATAAGTTTACTTTTGTCCATATTTCCTTTTAATTTTATAATTTACTTCGCAAGAATGATTAATAGCTCACGTGTACCAAAAAAATCTCTGAAATTATACTGAATTACTGATAATAATAATGACGAGAATAATGGTGACGATTCAATCATCAACACTGGCGATTATAATAAAAACATAATAAAAACAATGTTAATGAAGCACATCCTTTGTTTTACCATAAGTTTCAAATATTTCATAGCACATTAATAATATTTTCATATATGACAATATGGCAATTATAAATGTATCTAAATATGGAAATTGACTTAAAATATTTTACTAGAAAAGAATATACTCGAACCTTTCCCGTGGATAGATCAATTTCTCATGAAATGACCCTGAACCGTCACGTAATGCCATTAAATTAAAAGACATTCATTTCGTCTGTGTGAATAGTATACAAGCAGTATACTAGTATATGGTTATAAAAACTTCATATATAAAAAATGAAAATATTTCGAAAAATCAACAACAAAAACAATTATCAAAATTTAAAGATTTTTTTCTCTCTTTGGGAAAAAGGGGGCCCGAAAAAGTTTTTTAAAAAATTTTAAAAAAAAAGTAAACTACAGGGAAAATTTAAAAAAAAATAATTTTAATTTTTTCCCCCCCCCCATCGGAAATAGTTGGGTTTAAAAAATTTAAAACTTGAAAATATTTTAAAATAAAAATAAAAAAAAAGAAATAAATCTTTGTTTTTAAAAAAAAAAAGGTTGTTTTGGTAATGTATAAAACCTTTTAAGAATAGTACAAAAAATAAAAATTGAAACCGGGGCAAAAATTGTTGGGGGGAAAAAAAACTGTTTATCCAAAACAAATTGCTGCATTATTTAGTGATAAAAATTTTGTCCCAAATTTTTTTTGTAAAAAAGAGAAAGGGGTTTAAAAAAAAGGAAAATTGAAGATTGGGGTATCTTCAAAAAGAATTTGGCCAAATTCAAATTTTTTGCTCTCTAAAAATTTCCCTATAAATAAAATAAATTTTTTTTAAAAAGTACAAATTGCAAAGGAAAAAAAAATATTTAGTGAATTTAAAAGTATAAGCATTTAAAAGAAAGGCCTTTTCATTTTTAAAAAGGCCCCCTTTTAAACCCGGCCGGGGGTTTGAAACCAGACAAGGATAGCCGAAATACAAATAAAATCAGTGGACGTTTTCAGCAATAAAAACCCCTTTAGTTTTTTCCGAATTTTCCACCTCAGTTTTTTCGGCTTAAATATTTAGACAGTTAAAAATTAAATTTTAAAATAAATTTTTAATTTCTACCGTTTGGGTATTCTGTATCTTTTTAAAAATTTAATTTTTCATTTTAAAAAAAAGTTTTTAAATCGATTTTGTATTTTAAATTTGAACTTAAAAACCATTTCCCCCTAATTTGGGGGTTCGAACCCCTCCTGGACTAAATTTTTTGAGAGAAACCTACCCAGCTTACATAGAAAATACTAGGTTTCACGCGGGTATCCTTTCCCACGAAAAAATCCCAATATAACATTTAACATAGGGGTGAACATTTAATCGACAACCATTAAAAGATGGTGTCAGTCCGACTAGCTCAATCTGTTAGAGCGCGAGACTTGTAATCTCGACATTGTGGATTCGATTCTCGGGCTTACCAACTAAAATTACAAAGCAGTCTGTTGGATGAGACTTTAAATCGAGGTCCCGTGTATGAGTGTTAAACATTTGGCACGTTAAAGGACCAGGAGGATGTTCTGGAATTTGGGGCATATGTCTGTATTTGTATCTTGCACTATCCTCCAAAATATAAATATCTTACATCTTCTGGAGGACTCGCCAATATTGGTGACCGGTGGCGAGTATAAATAAACTCAAATACACACACATTAAAAAATGATTTGCAGTGGTCGTGTGTGAAAGTGACGATCGACGCGTTTCTCAAAGGGAATCAACAATTGTTTCTGACATGAAGAAATTGGAAAAGTGATTTGTATCAGTTTGATGTCAGTCTGTACCAATAACGTGTGTGCAAATTTTCAGATCATTCGCCTTCGTAGTTTTTTTCCCATGTAATGATTTTCATGAATTAAAGTGAAATTAAAACTGAGAAGCGTTTTAACGCCTTTAAGTCAAGCCGGCTAACATTACTCATAGCTCGAAATATCGATTTTCTAATTTAGTTCTAATTTTCAATTTTTTTATAATGTTTCATATTTTATGATATAATCTTAAATTTAATGTTTAAGGCTTTTGGACCTTAGTTGGGGAGCTTATATAAGTGCAGTCTATCTAATATATATAGCCCACTTATGGACCTTAGTTTGGGAACTTTATTATACCAAAACTTTTTTAATTTTAAAATTTATATCATTATTCAAAAATTACAACAATAAATTACACTTAAAATCATGTCATTAAAAATAAATTCGGGAAAAAAGAAAATAGATAAGGATTTTTCAAAAAACAAATAAAAAAAAATTCCCCAAAAAATTACACACATTTTCAAAGACAAAATTTCAAATTTGTTCAAAAAATGAAGTTTAAAAATTAACTTCATTTTCAAAAGGGAAATGGCAAAATATAAGTTTTTTTTTTGATTGATAAAAATTCTTAAAAAATGTGAAAATTTATTTTTACTCTAAAATTTAAAAAAATTTTAATAACAATTTTAAAATTTACATTTTGAAATATTTGAAAAAAGAATGTTGTAAAATAATATCCAAAAAAAGAAAACAATTTTTGTTATGGATGTCTATTCCCCATTTTAAAAAAGTTTATATTTGTCATGATACAGAATCATGGATCGGTGCTGTTGTAAGTTATCAACTTTATTTCATAAATAATAATAATTATAATTTAAAATAACAATAATAATAATGATAAAATAATTGATGATGATAATGATGATCATAATAATAATAATAATAATATCATTTACTTTATCATTATTATTATTATTATTTTTGTTGTTGATGTTATTATCATTAAATTTATTATTGTTATTATTATTATTATTATTATTTTTATAATTATTATTATTATTATTAATAATGATGATGATGATTATTATGATTATTGTTGTCAATTAAATTATCTACAATAAAATTGATACTGTTTTTAATTATGTCAGGAGGCGTGGCCTATTTACTTTAAGAAAAAATTCTTGCCTTAAAAGCGGATATGCATACCCAACGTGTACAATTTACGTAATTTGTATAAGTTGTGAACTATCTATAATTTAGCTAACCATTATCTGTATACGACTTCAGCTCACGCGGAAGCTGTATACGTCGTAAGCTTTAAACGCCGTAAGCTATTTACATCGATAGCTTTATACGTCGTAAGCTATATACGTCGTAAGCTGTATACCTAGTAAGATATTTACATCGCGTAAGTTGAATACGTCGTATTCTGTATACGTCATTAGCTGTATACGCTGTAAGCTGTATACGTCGTAAGCTGAATAAGATATGTCATAAGCTATAAATCGTAAGCTATATATGTCGTATATATGTCGTAAGTTATATACGTCGCAAGTTGAACGTCATAAGCTTTATACGTCGTATGCTATATAAATCATAAACTATAATCGGCGTAAGCTATACACATCGTAAGCTATGTACGCCGAAAGCTTTATATGTCCTAAAGGCCTCAACAGACGGTAGGATTTAGCTGTACAACACTAATTAGAGATAACATGTACAATTTTCAAAGCAATACAAACATTGCATTCAGACGGTAATTCTGTAGGAATCATCTGAGGTTTCCCTAAAAAGGATCCCTCCCAATTGATGCTTTACATACTGTACTCACTAAATACTTTTTTTCGCCATGAGTAATGATTGAAAGACCTCCATTAAAAAAAAAATATATATATTTTTTTTAATGTGAAGCCTGACCGAGACTCAAACCTGGAACCCTCGGAATATCGTACTGCAGCTCTACTGACTAAGCTATTCGGCCGCCTACAAACTACATCCCCTTCCCTAATTCATGTAATTAGAGAACAGTTCAATACCGTGACATAATCATTTTCGGAATAATTTGGGATTCGAACATAACACAACTTTGCGTCTCCTGAAGAGATTTTTTCAACATCATTTTTACCCCATCTTTCTACTATATTTTCCTTTTAGCCCTAATTGTTCTGGAATTTCATTCATTACACCCATTATCAGGAGATAATTTGGTAATCTGTTACTTGTCATTGTGGGAGGTCTGCAGAAATCTGTATGACAAGATTTTTGAAATAGAACATGTCCTATCCCTTACATCTAAACTTGAGGTTTCCGAATTCAAGAAATAGTAGCCTACACACATTAAGATTTGTCTGTACATCTTAGTTTTAATTGGTGTTGTACTTCAAAATCCTACCGTCTGTTGAGGCCTTAAGCTGTTTCCCTAATAAGATATATACGTCATTAGCTGTATATGCCGTAAGCTATAAGCGTCCTACGCTGCATCCGTATGTACACAACGTAAACTATACACGTCGCAAGACGTATGCGTTGAAACCTGTATACGTTGTTAGCTTAATGCGTCATAAGGTATATATGCCGTAACCTATATACGTCGTAAGCTTCATGCGCTGTAAGGTATTAATGTCGTTAGCTACATACGTTGTAAGCATTAAACGTCGTAAGCTGTACGAGGGCTGTTCAATAAAAACGCGGAAAAGTGCTGCCATATTTTTAATATTCATTGGAAATTGGCGTTCTCTTTACATTTTGTAAATAAACATATAATAAACATGTACACAAAATTTCAATAAAATCGGATAAAAATTAATACCCGGTAGTACAATTTCAAGTATTTCTAAGGTAATCGCAGTGAAACCGGCCCAACGTCGTAACGACGTCACGCTCAACGCATGTATGAGAGTCACCCAAAACACGCACCTAGTCCTTCTCGAAATACTCTCCGTGAAAGGAAACACACTTTTTACAACGGTTGATCCATGACATGAAACTATTAAAGTAGGAGCCATTATTTATCTCTGAAACTGCACCTTGCACCGCGTAAGACAACTCGTCCACATCATCAAAGTGTTCTCCCCGCAGGACGTTCTTCAGTGTCGGGAATAGAAAGAAATCGCATGGTGCGAGGTCAGGGCTGTAGGCCGGGTGCTCGAGGACTTCGAAGCCGAGTTTCCTGATTGTGAACTGTGTTTCGGCCGCACGATGAGACGGTGCGTTGTCGTGATGAAATATCGTGTCGGCGATTTTCGTGGCCCGCTTCTTTCTCATCGCCCTCATAAAGTCGTGTCTCAGAATCTTAGAGCATAAAGAAATACAATCATAAGTAAATTGTCGTTATAATTTATTTTCATAATTACTTACACAAACATAAATAATTATTAGGTAATGTATTGACATAATATATGTTATTTTGGTTTTGGAGTGATATATGTGGATATATTACCTGCTAAGATTTTATATCACCCGAGCCGTTAGGCGAGGGTGATATTTTATCTTGGCAGGTAATATATCCACATTTATCACTCCAAAACCAAAATAATAATTTTATTACCCTTCCCCTGCCGAGTTTAGACGATTTTTTAAAAAATCATTGCTGTTTCAAATGAAATGTCGAAATAAGATTCCCTTTAGGGTACCTCTTCATCACAACATGACGTCACATAAATATATGACGTATTTTTCCCGTACCTAACGAATGTAAACAAGAGAAAAGGAGTAGTCTATTGTACGCACTTTTTTGTAATTAATATCAAGCTTTCACAAGGTCATATTTGTTTTCAATACTGATGGGAATATGTATCATTACTCTACTTTGGTAAATATTTATAATTTTACAGTTAAAAAGTGTTTGTAAATCGGAATTTACACCGCGTAAAATCGAACCGTACGCGCATCACCTAAGCGCATGTTGTTTACAACGTTGGGTACCCAACGGGGAAATTTAGTGTGTATATTACCCGTCTGGCTCGGTTATATCAATTTCTTTCGGGTGATCAATATCCAATCAAAAAGGCGGAAAAAATCTGGAAGGGTAATAATAATGAATATCTTATTATAGATTAAACAAATTTATTTACCTTAGAATAATACTTCGCCGTCACAGCCTGACCCAAGGGTACCGCGTGGCTCAGTATCACACCGTCGACGTCAAAGAAGACGATGAACATCTGTTTCCTTGCAGATCCGATCTTTCGTGTATTTCGCGAATTGTTATCCGACGATCGTTGTCAAGCAGCTCCTTTATCACAGCGACGTGATTTGACGTTACGTTGGGACGTCCACTGCGTTTGTCGTCATGGATGCTTTGTTGGCCGCCTAGAAATCGGGCATACCACTTGTACATTGCTGTTTTCTTCATCGCCTGATCACCATATACTTTTTGTAATCTTAACATTGTTTCTTTCTTTGAAACCCGTTCAAAACACAAAATTTTATTGAAGATCGTTGTTACGATGCCATTTTAACGCATTAACATGACGTCATGTGCGTAACGCCAACATGTTGCGCGTAAATTATGCAAAGTTTGGTGAAAATCGCACGGTAAACGGTAAAATGCGACGTCATTATTAACCAGTGACTATTTGTAAAAATGAACAAAAGTGGGCCGGTAATCGCTACATGTGGTTACCATAACGACCGTTTGTTAACATATGATTCATGCCAGAACGGCAATATTTGCTGTTTATTTTCAAAATATGTTTGTCTCTATTACTGTATAAGTTTTATTCAGCTAACTTTGAAAATAAGGAAATAGCGACACTTTTCCGCGTATTTATTGAACAGCCCTCGTATATACGTCATAAGCTTCATGCGTCGTAAACTGTATGCGGTGCAACATTGCCCTATCCATGTTCTGTTCAATACACGAGTGTGTACCTGATAAGCATGTAAGCAAGATTGCTACCTCGTAAAAATTGAAGAGCACAATTCAGTTTATATTAAATCAATTTTCCCCATGTGGTACCTCAATTTTACTTTTGCTTACAATTCCGACAATGTTAGGGCTGTTTAGGGTAAACTGAAGCTGAAATGTATAAATAAAATAAAATTCACATATAAAAAAAAGGAAAATAAACTTACATCAATTCATTCAGTTTACCAATCACCGATCATCGTCTTTATTTTTTATAACATTTTAACAGTCTAAAAAATACTCTTTCTTCCACACGCAAAACTGCACTTGATGACTTAAATTTTGGGCATATGTATTTTTTTACTAGCAATAACTGTTAACAGGGTCTTTCAAATTCTATTTGAAAGACCCTGCTGTTAAGTAATGTGTAAACAAAACTTGTTTTCCAAGTTCCTAGTGACTTTTAGAATGTTTACTCATCTGTCAACATCTATTTATTGTCTGTTACAATCCAACAAGAATGTATGTAAAATTAATGTATCAAAATAAAAACCCTCTGAATAAAACACATTTTATATTTTCCTCCCGTGAAAAACACAACTTTAAATATAGCGGTCGCTTACATTACAATGAACAGTCTAATGCAAACTTCCGCGAAAAAAAGGGAACGGCATGGTGTAACCTTTTCTTCTTCTATAATTGTTTTTTGTTTCATTTATTAATTAAAACAAGCGAATATTCATTTTTTTGTATAAAATAGATCATCACCTTTTAATATTGATTTTGGACTTATTTTCTTGCCCAAGACTTTGTATATTTATTAGAAATACTTCTGAGATTGAGGGCTACCAGTGGGGAAAACAGATTTGATATTCAAGTTGATGTAATTGAGGAAAATTAATTTAAACTTGAAATTAAGCATAAAATTAAAAAAGATTTTTTTAGTGAAATATATTGTTATTTCATTTTATCTTACACATAAACAAACTATTATCATTATTATTTGTTATGATTTTTTGTGTGTTTTAGAATATGTGTAAATTGTTTGGCGGAAACCTGGTCAATATAGAAACTGCGACTGAAAATAGTTACTTAGCAGCTACTGCAAAACTTCGTGGACGTTAGTAATTTCTATTCCAATTTATCTTAGTATTTATTCAAAAGGGACAAACTTTTGTGAATGCCTGTATAGATAAAGTATTAAATGGACCATGAAATGAGCATTCTGTTTGATTTTCTTGTAATATATTATGAACTAGGTACATTATTGTATATGGCATGTGTAAATTTGTTGAACAGTCCTCCTAATTGAAAAACACTTTTATGAGTCCGCTTTTGAATCTTCTAATGACAAATTCCTCTTTGTACTTATAATAGACTACTATTGGATTGGACTAACTGATGCGCAAGAGGAAAGTATATGGCGTTGGATTTCAAATACAGGCAAACTGGTATACAGAGGATATTTCAACTGGGCTTCCGGAGAACCAAATAACCGTGGGTCTGACGAAAACTGTGCTACAATAAGCACTTCTGGATTTTGGAACGATATCCCATGTTATAAGAATGCTCATTACATTTGCGAGGCTGACAACAGGTGAGATTTCTAGAAAACAACTCGACCAAATGATGTCTAAGTGTCAGCCGCAACTTTAAGCCCTTTCCGTCTGTCTTGGGATAAGTACCTCGAACACAATAGTAAGAATTTACAGAAGAGATAAGGTATTTACAGAAGAGATATGGTATGGTAACCTACGCTAAGAAACTAAACATGTAAACAAATAGTAATTTGATGCTGGGAGTTGTTGACTGGATTCATAATGCAAAAGTCCACCTTAATTAAGTAAATTCATAGCTATAAAAATAAACAGTACACTTTTTCGAAGTAGTCATATACTTTTGATTTAAACTTCCGTTGGTATGGACGCGTTGTTTGCCAACTTTGTTATAATGTGACCAGTCAGAATCTGCAAATTATTGGCTAGCGTTTCGGTACCGAAATAAGCAGTGTGCTGCCCAAACAAAAAATGTGTTTATTTTTTTATATAATAGTTATCTATAATAAATCCTGTTGCAAAATAAAAAGCAAAAATAAAGAAAAGAAAAAACAACAACAACAAAACAATAAAACAAACAGAATATCTTGCGTAATTATGGGTCTCCCTATCAATTGACAAGAACCGTCAAATACCGATGAGAACCTATATATTGCAAATAAACACATATACATGTTATTTATTATATGTAATACAGGCAGAGCATATTTAATTTTATATTTGATTTTGTTTTTGTCTTTTTTATGTAGAAAATTAAAAATATGAGTACCGACACATTACCAACAAGAAAATAAAATTGGGTGCAACGCGTATACTGAACGTTGATACCGACAAGAAACGATTTGTAGTTTACATGATCAGTAACAAGATTTGTGCTGAAAACATCTTATGAACATGTTTCCACTTTATTTCAAGTTAATTTCACTTTTCATATTCAAGTTTTGACACATAACACTTTAAAGCGAGAGTAGCTTATTTTTATTTTGAAACTAAAAAAAAATACCTATACTCCTTTTAACTCTAGATAAAGGATTTGATACAAATACTTTTTTTCCATTACACTATAGATCTTGAAACCCAAATAAATCTGACATCTGACATCATCAAGCTTACAACGCATTTTGCACATTTCGTGTCTGAACGGACATTTGTCTGTTTTTTTGTTTTTTTTGTTGTTGTTTTTTTCTTTTGTGCTTATGTTGAAAGGTCGTCGGGAATTCTTTAAAGTATCAGGATGAACTTATATGATTTCATACAATAACACAATCTAAAGTTTTCAAAAATTAAAGGTTATTCATGAATTTAAACGTATTTATGTTATTAACATATTCACCGTTCCTTGTCAAAGATTACTTTTATTCCGTTTGTTTTCAGTGAGGAAACCATTGTTGGCTAACTCGACGGAACACGGGACCAGATTTATTGGATTCGGATTACCTTTCGTTTGATACAAGCTTAAAGTGTACGATTCTGTTTCTATGTTTAATTCGTTCGTCACACTGTTAAAACTTGGAATAATATTTTATTTTTCATACCAGAGGAAACTTATCCATTGGATATGAACTATTCTTTTGTTCTACTCCTCATTATATCGGAACCTCGTTATATAAAGGCAAACAATTTAAACAGACGTTTTGTTAAAAAACCTTTAGGGTTTTATTGTATTGATTTAACCTAACCTTCCCAAAATAAAATATGAAAAAGTAAAGTTATATTCCTTATATCAAACATTGTTGCCAAGGCATCTGTGACATTTTGAAGAATGCAAATTAAAGATGCACCATAATACATGTACATCATTAATACAAATAACAATGTGAATGTGTAAGATAATGTACTATATATTCTTATTATCCAGAAACTACATTCCTGGCATTGTGCTTTCATATCATTTGCGAAAAAATCTAGGTAACCGCATAGGATTTTAAAAAATCTAGTTAACCACGCAATAATTATACAATTTGGTTAATATGAATCACGTAGCATTTGAAAATCTAGTTAGCCGCGTAGTATTTAAACAAAATCTAGTTAAGCACGTAGTATTTATAAAATCTAGTTAACCCCGTAGTATCTAAGTAATAGATATACCATTGGTGCGTTGACGATTTCTGGGTTTGCGTAAATTATACCATAATCACGTGACCTTTCTTATGCCTTAACCTCACGAGACGAAGTCGAGTGAGGTTGCATAAGAAAGGTCACGTGATTATGGTATAATTTACGCAAACCCAGAAATCGTCAACGCACCAATGGTGTATCTGTTTTAACCTATAGCTCCGCCCAGAAACACTTACTCCTTCGATCTTAATTTGCATAAAATTATACCATAGTCTGGGTATGGTATAATTTACGGTTATTGGAAATTATACTTGGAAGAATTTTACATAAGAAGCGCTGAAGAGCTATAGGTTAAAAAAAAAGTTAACCACGTAGTCTTAAAAATAAATCTAGTTAACCACGTAGTATTAAAAAATATATCTAGTTAACCACGTTTGTCGCTTAGTACAATTTGTGTTCCTAATTATTTCAGCTCAAAAGAAAGAGCGTCGGATAAGAAATCCATAGGTTGCTGGTTCGATTTTCGAACGTGGCGTAATATCTGGGTGATAATTGATCTCGGACATCCAATTTAATGGTCATTTGTCTGTTAATTCAGATATTATGTGGGACTAGTAGTGGGTCACTTGGTAATTACTGGTTAGTTATCCAGGAAAACCGACTAGATAGATCTGTCGCCGAGAATTTGTTGTAATCGGCGAAAAAAAGGCAGAATACATATTAATAGGTTTAAATTTGTATACGTCTTATTGAATTAAAACAAAACAAAAAGAAAATTATATGAAAATTGCAGATTTGGTTTGATTTGGGTCTGCTTAAGAGACAATGAATATTTGCACATCCTAACACCGGCTTAAGCATTAACTAAATATGTTGTAATTAATGATCCCATTACACCTGAAATATAGTATAATATACAATTACTGACTAGTGAGTCATTCAATATGATGTGATATTCACCGGCAGATAAAAAAATGACCGAGGCGATATCCAATGACTCACTAATCAAAAATTGTTTTATCATATGAACATTGAAGCTACGGACTTATATCTTGTGCGTCATTGAGTGTCCCAGTGTCTTTAGAAATCATATAAAACGTGCAAAAGATATGGTCCGATCATGAATATTTACAGCACTTCAAACTATATGATAATAAAACTAAGTTCCATCTCTTGCTTTGACATTGACCTTTAAATTAAAAACTTGGATTTTGCACGCGACACATTGTCTTTTTATTGTGTCCAGCTTTTCTTACCCAAGTTACCTTTCTTGCTTTATTTTAGACACGAACGGCCATCTTAGTGCAGCCACTCATCTAACGTAAGCTATGTGAATAGTTTATAGCAAAAGCTATTTATTCAATCATGAGCAATATGCCAACATCACAGAAATTAAAAAGAAGTCTTGATTACTTCTTCCTGCAGTAACATTTGCACCATCAATAGAAAATGGCTTTTAAATAAGCGCATTTTTTATTTGAGCACGGTGGAACAACTGTCAAGCAGGCCTGGTAAAAGCCTAAAAAGCAAAGCATTATGTGAGGAATACATATTGATTTTAAAATGCTAACCAATAAACTTAAGATTGAACTGGCGCTTTTAAATAATTAAGATGTGGATTCTATTGACTGTATACTGTTATTAAGTACAGTGTAACTTCCGAATTCCGGAACTTCTAAAATCCGAAAACTTCTGAACATTTTTCAGGGTCCCGAAATTTCTCACTCTGTTTTCTATATAATTAATACCTCTGAATTCCGGAACTTCTAAATTCTAAATTCCAAACGAATTTCTGCTAAAATTTGGGTTATTATAATATCAATTCAAAATTACTTCCAAAATTCGGAAATTGAAAAAGGTGTGACAGAATATTATAATTGGAATAAATGTAACAAACCGTTGTTTCCTTGAGCAAGAAACTTTACATTTATTGCTACATTTGTAAGTACTGGTTGGTTCTGTGAACGGCCTCAAGAGTGTTTCAATAAGCTTATAGCTTCCAACACAATCGAACTAAAATAAATTTGTATTAAACTAAGAGCGTTATCTGAATCAACATTATGTTCTGTTCCGTCACGTTGTACCTTCCTTGTTCTAAACAGAGGTTGATCATCATCAGAAGAAAAATAGTTTTATTCCTCTTCTTTAAAAGAAAGGTTATCCAAATCCAATAGAGCTGGTTCCGTGTTCTCGTGTTAAACCAACAATATATTTTCTTCCTTTGAAACAAAAGTAATATAATATATCATCGATTATAAAAAAAGAGAAAAACCTTTTTTGATGTATATATTATTGAATGTCCTTTCATTTTGGAAACCTTATATCTTTAACTTCAGCTCCTTATCAAGAAAAAGAAAATGTTCTTTCAATGCATCATTTCAGACACAATAAGTTACAATTTCCATATCTAGTGTAAGGGCAAAGAACTGTAGATTTGGTTATCACATGTAAATAGAGGCGTATGTATAAGCTCCCCTCTCTAGATTTAAGAGAAGTATACTTGCAGAGTAAAAAGTGCTATTCGTGTGTATGCAATCTTAATAAAATAAAATTTTGCAATACAAAGAGTTAAGCAGACATGTTAACAAAAATATATTATATGTAAATACAGTAGAATCCCTACTTAACACCACTCCGGAATTAAGACCATCCCGCTATTAGGACCATTTATTTTAAAAGAACGGAATTCGTGTTCTTTATATCAATGGTTACACGAGCCGCAATTAAGACCACCACGCTTATCCAGGTTTAAGTTACACAGATGATATTTATGTTAGAATTTTAAATTTAATGTTTTTAGGCTGTTAGACCTTGGTTGGGCAGCTGCATTAAGCACAATCTATTTAATACATAAAACTAGGACATGCAGATGTATAATAAATTATACTTACATGTATGTCACGTAAAATTAATTCGTTGGAAAACATATAAACATTTAAAAAAAATGTAAATAGAAAATATATAAAATAGAAAGTAAAAAAAATAATATACAAAGGCTTAATAAAAGTAAAAGTGAGATTGGAACTCACGACCTTCCGCATGCAAAACAAGCACCATTACCACTACACTATCAGGACAGGTACTATTCAAATACCTTTTTTCCTGTTAATGCGTTTTCGTATATGGTTTTTTTCCTGTCACCCCTATGTACTTTTTAATTTAAGATCTCCCATCCTTGATCAAATTTGAATCGACAGCATATGTATGTCACGTAAAATTAATTCGTTTTAGAGATAATGAAAATAGATAATGATTTATGTCAAAGCAGATAAAACTTCCAAATAACACACATTACTAGATACTTCAAAAATTTACTTTAAAATGAAGTTTGAATCTATATTAATTTCTTTTATTTTCATAGGGACTGGCAAGTATAACTTCATGTATTTTTATTGATAATTCTGTAAACCATATGGCTTTTACTTCTAATACCAAAATGATATAAACAATTTTATAAATTTAGAAACATATTGTGAAAATGTAGAAAGCTATTGATGATATTCAACACAGAAATCAAAATATTTTAGTTGATGGATGTCTGTCAGGGTGGCTCCGCCATGGTAACAAGTGTTATCATTTTAGTCATGATACAGAATCATGGATCGGTGCTGTTGTAAGTTATCAACTTTGTTTGCACTTACTTTTTCTTTAATATGGTGGCAGATTTACGCCATGCCGTGTTTTCGCTTCTTTGCCTCAAAAAGGCAAAATGCGAAAATGCAAAAACATGAATGGACGCAAAGCGAAAATACGACAGCAGAAGGGCAACATTATGACATGTAAAATCTGTCGTCTATTGGCATTTCATCCGTCGTATTTTCACTTTCGCGCTTTATTGCATTTTGCCTTTTTAGCATTGTTGTGATTTTCCTTTTTCGCTTTATTGCATTTACCTGTTTTGCATTGTTGTGTTTTCCCTTTTACGCAATATTGCATTTTGAATTTTTTCGCATTGTTAAGTTTTCATGCATGCATTTTAAGATTTTCGCATTGTCATTTTTTCGCCTTTTCCCCATTGATGTATTTTTACATTTTGGTATTTTTGCCTTTTGCTTTTCCGCATCTTCGCGTTCCAATTAAGTATGGGCACATTGACTACACACATATATGCTGACGAGTAACGGAGTCAAGTTCAACGGGTTAATTTCTTAATATCAGCTGTAAAAAACATGCTTCATATATGATTAGCATGTTATCCACAAAACAATGAAAATAAACAATTATAAATAACATATACTAAATAAATACATTCATAATAATAGTTATAGCTTATAATAATAAGATAATAATACAAGTTATAATAATAAAGTGATTTATGATAATGATAATGATGTTATACATGCCATTATGGTGATAATTATCTTATTAATGATGATGATGATTTTCATTATTATAATTATTATGATTAATATTATTTCATTGTTGCTCTTGTTAATTGAATTATCTTCAATAAAAATGATAATGCTTTTAATTTTGTCAGGAGGCGTAAGCTATTTACTTTAAAGACAATCATAGTTGCCACAAACCCGTCGTATACAGCTTATGTTACTTGTACAGGTTGTCAACTAAATAATACAGTACACAATAAACTTTAAACGACTTCTGCCCACGAGTAAGCTGTATACGCCGTAAGCTATACACATCGGAAGCTATATATGCCGTTATCTATATACATCGTAAGGTATATACCAAGTAAGATAATTATATACGGTGTAAGCTATATACGGCGTTAGCTGTATACGTATTTATACGTTGTAAGCTGTATGTCGTAGCTATAACGTGGTTAGCTATATACATCGTAAGTTATATAATATATATATTGAATTATATGCGTTGTAAGCTGTAACGTTGTAAGCAATATACGTCGTAATCTATATATGTGGTAAGCTATACACATCGTAAGCTGTATATGTCGTAAGCTACATACGTCGTGAGCTATAAACGTCATAAGCTGGATACGTCGTTGGCCTTAAACATCGTAAGGTAAGCTATAATAATTATATCGAAAGCTTCATGCATCAAAAGCTATATAGGCTACGTCGTAAGCTATATACGTCGAAAGTTATGTGTCATAAGTTATATACGTGATCGTCGTAAGCTATATACGTCGAAAGCTTCATGCATCATAAGTTATATACGTCGTAAGCTATATACGTCGAAAGTTATATACGTCGAAAGCTTCATGCGTCATAAGTTATATACGTCGTAAGCTTTATACGTCGAAAGTTATATACGTCGAAAGCTTCATGCGTCATACATTATATACGTCGTAAGATATATACGTCGTAAGATATATACGTCGTAAGTTATATACGTCGTAAGCTATATACGTCGCAAAAGCTTCATGCGTCATAAGTTATATACGTCGTAAGCTGGTGCCCCTCTGTGCTTTATTTTAGACACGAATGTGCGCCAGAAAAGAATCACTACCTTTTAGCTAGCTTTATACCTTACTCAAATGAAGATTCATAAATCCCTAGCGTGACTCAAACACACGGCGATAAAGGACAAGTGGTTAAAATTCAACGATAATAACCACTCAACAACGGACGAATAATACTTGTAACGAAGTGAACGGTCGGACATTTACCTGATTCATAATAATTGAGAAACACGACATAGTTACTATTAAATCAATAGCGTGTATTTATTATTAAGTTCTGTCTTTTAGAACATGTGTAAATTGTTTGGCGGAAACCTGGTCGAAATAGAAACAGCGGCTGAAAATAGCTACTTAGCAGCTATTGCCAAACTTCGTGGACGTTAGTAATTTCTTTTTTAATTTTCTCCTAGTATTTAATCAAAAGGGACAAACTTTTGTGAATGCGTGTATAGATAAAGTATGAAATGAACCCTGAAATGAGCAATCTGTTTCGTTTTCTTGTAATCTATTATGGGTACATGTCATGCCTATATTTGTTCTTCTAATTTAAAGACACATAAAAAATGTGCTTTTACGAGTGCGCTTTTGAATCTTCTAACTGATGCGCAAGAGGAAAATATATGGCTTTGGATTTCAAATGGAAACAAGCTGGTAGACGGTGGATATGTCAACTGGGCTTCAGGAGAGCCAACTAACAGTGGATCCGATGAAAACTGTGTTAATCTTTTATCATCTGGATTTTGGAACGATTATCAATGTCATGCGAATGCTCAATATATTTGCGAGGCTGATAACAGGTGAGGTGTTTGGAAAACAAATCTACCTAATAATGTCTAAGTGTAAATAAAATAGCGTGATTATATATAGATAACCTAAGGAATGGCAACGAGTAACCGAGTAATCGAGTACTCGATCAAACGTTAAGAAAATTGATACTCGTGTATTCGGAAGAAGAATAGTATATGTCGTGTGTTTCATAGAAACAAATGTTTTATTGAGGAAAAGAATTTCAAATATGATGCAATATTGTGGAATATTCATAAAAAATATCTGACTTGTATTTGAGGTTTAGATAGGAATATCTTGGCAAGCCTCTTTACCGCCTAATTGGCGGATCCCCTCGGGACGGATATTCCGATCCGAACCGCCACATATGACATACATTTTTTATCACATTATTTTTTCGTCAACAATATAAACCAATTTTAGACTTGTATTTTGTAACAAGGAAAACGATATGTTGTTTAATTGACTGGCATTTATTTCTCCTTTATGAAGCAGCATAAAATTGATATTGCAAAACCATTACTCATTTAAATTACAAGTTTTGCCAACTAGAGTTTGAACGAATAGAAGTTGGGTTGTTTGTAATGTATAAGAATAGAGTAGCTGAGTTATGGTTTGAAATTAAATAAGTACTTATACTCCTTTTATATATAGAGTAAGGATTTGAGACAAATATTTCGTGTAGATAAGTTTGTCTGGACACCTGAAAAAAAAAACTTGTCAAGGTCAAAGCGCATGTTGCACACTGCACATTTGAGCGGATGCGCAGGCTGGTCTGGATCAATGCTGGTCGCAAACACATAATGTTGGTTTTGTCATGACGCGGCTCGTGTCTGTTTTTTTCCATAAATGCTGAAAAGTCGTCGTGCATTTTTAAAAGTATCAGATTTCATATTTTCACATTTTTTTAATTTCATACAATATTAAAGTAAAACTAACAACTAATAGGTTTTTTCAATTCAATTCAATTCAATGTTTATTTGACTTGAACATATATACAATGTTTATCGCCAATACATATAGCATTATTGCGGCACAAGACAAAACAATGCATATTTTGAACATGTGAAAAGCATGATAATAACAATTACATACTTTGAACATCATTAAAACGGTGATAATAACAATTATGGAAACAATATGGAAAGATCGGAATTAACAGATAGTTTACATGAATAGATACTGTCTTTGGTGCGTAAATGAAAAGACGAGGAAAACTCTGTTTAAAAAGACAAACAAGTGTCGTAATAGGTTCCAATTGCTATTTTTTTCTTTTAATTTAAAAAAAATGTAATTTTACTATCATATTATGTAATCTTTATTTCGTTTTTCCATAAGTTGCACAATGACTACACAATAAGAAATAACGGTTCCAAGAATTAAAACGTATTTTATTTTATTAACAGATGCACCTTTCCTTGTTAAAGGTTAATTACATTCCTTTTGTTTTCAGTGACGAAAGCATCGTTGGTTAGCGCCAGAACACGGAACCAGTTTTATTGGATTCGGATTCCCTTTCCTTTTATACATGAAAACTCTAAAAGTTAATGATCTTCTATCATGAATTCTTTGTATAATTCTTTGACAATTTGAAGTATGTTGTTAAAATTTGAATAATTGTTGTTTTTTTTCACACCAGAGGAATTTAATCAATTGGATGTGAAGTTTTCTTTTGACTTTATGGCAAATACAGAATTTTCAATTTCTTGCTGTGACTTTGACCTTTAAACTAGAAACCTGGATTTGGCACGCGGCACATTGTCTTTTTATTATGTCTTGCTTCATTTGAGACACGAACGGTCGGTCACCTGAATAGAATCACTAACCTGACGGACGCTATCTGAATAGTTAATAGCAACAACTATTTATACAATCACGAGCAACATGCCAACTTCACAGATATTAAAAAGAAGCGTATATTTGATATCAACTGTCACGCAAGCCTGGTAAAAGCTTTAAAAGCCTAAAAAGCGAAGCATTGTGCAAGGAATACATATGAGCCGCGTCACGACAAAACCGACATAATAGGTTTGCGACCAGCATGGATCCAGACCAGCCAGGTCCATGCTGGTCGCAAACGCATTATGTTGGTTTTGTTGTGACACGGCTCATATTGATTTTAAAATGTGTACCAATAAACTTAAGATTGAACTGGCACTTTAAATAATTAAGATATGGATTTTATTGACTGTAAAGACATGTCGAGGCAGCAACCGAATAATATTTTTTCTAAAATTATCTTTAATAGATGTTTAGTGTCCAGCTTTATTTGTCATCCAATGAAAAGGCTGTATTTCTTAAAAAATATGTGTGTTCATATTCATAGAAGAACAAAACTCGATAGTATATCGAATGTCGTTCATAGTCGCCTTCTATTTGTTATAGTACTTCATAGAACCGCGTAAAGACATTCTCCTGTCGGTATCGCTCCCGTCGAACTTTTTAATTTCTGTAGAACAGCACAGATGAAGATTAACATAATGTAAATGCAAAACAAAAATGAACCCTAAACTATGTACATATGTTAGTGCTCATCCGTGCTGTTCTACTGAAACTTCGACGGGAGCGATAGCGACAGGAGAATGTTTCTAATTTCTGTAGAACAGCTACGGGATGAATACTATCATAATTAATGTCAAGCTTTATTTGGCTTCATTATTATTCACGTTATTACGTCACTATGCAGTTCTATAAAGCACTATGAAAAATAGAAGGAATTGATATAGTATCAGCTTTTGTTCTTCTATGAAAATTAAGACACACATCTTTAAAGAAATAAAGCGTTTTCATTTGATGACAAATACAGATGGACACTGTAACACATTTAAACATTGTATTTTGTTTCTACATTTACAGTATACAAGTTGTCAGTTGACAAAGAACAAAACCAAGTGTGATACAATGCTAAGGGAAGCACTTTATGTTAGTGTTTTGGTAAACAATGTGAACTAATTTGAATAAACAGTATATCACGTAGTCAAATATGGAATATTTAAGTTAGATTTACAGACCGTAATAAATCAGTAAATATCGGCAAACTTCGGAATAAAGCGTAAAAAAACCGAAAGCTTTCCTCCGATAGTTTTCTACTTTGACGACATCATATGAGAAACTACCAATACATGTATAACGGCTAGCATCCACACTAATTCGGGTCTGAAATCTTTAAAAAGTTCACTCATAGCTTTGTTATCGGGGGATTGTCATTAATTACGTCATATGTGTCGTCAACAGATGATATATCTTTTCCTGTATATTCCGGTAAATCTGCTTCATAAGGCGGAGGAGGGCTATAGCATCTTAAACTTACTTATGTTGTCGGGCGTAATATACATGTTGGTAGCAGACGATATTCTGTCATATGATGAATTATGGTGACCAGGCGTTTGACAGGTATCACTATCTCTCTGAAAGTGGTCTGCATCTAATTCTGACATTGGTTGAGTCCCGCCATCACTTCTTGTATACCGTGTTTTCGCTGTTTCAATTCTTATGTTTACGGTTGAGCAATCTACTATCGTTGTCGTTGGTCGTCTGCAAGAAAATAATAGAAAATAAATATAATAAAATCAGAAAAGATCAAATGGTTTTTCATTTTTCCATCAACATTTTTTCATGTATTTAAAACATTCTCTGAATCGAAACGAAGTCATGAATTCTCAGATTCACTAGTTAAATGTCAGAGAGAAACAGTGTTTAAGCATTTATTATCTTTATTTAGTTTTCCAGCAAAAACGGTATTCGTTTCTCCAGCAAAAACGTTAATTTTTTTTTCACAAAAAAAAAATCAAATACCTGCATTTCTTGTACCACACAAAGACTATCGCAGCTATTGCGATAACTAAAGCTGCTACTGATATGATAATCGCTATTGTCACGACATTGTCACCTGAAAAGAAGAGTATCATTTCTTTACAATTTTAGGCAAAGTAGGTTGTTCACACCGTACAATCAAATGGGCAGACAGCTGTTCCAGCGTCCACAGCTGTACCAGTATATACATGTCGGCGCGAGGAATACAATTGACGTACGATAAGTACTCATCTATTTTTAACATATCCCAAGTGTGTTCGAGTAAATCAATGTTATGGATTCATAGTCAACATCCAAAGAAGCATGCTAACAAATTTCTGGCCCTGTGCAAGCTTTACTTCACATGAATTTTGACTGATAATAACCACACTATCCGATGAGATGCGGTATTTTTAGTTTGAAGTCACAAAAACTTATATTTTCTCATGATAATTAATCCTTTTTTCATACGATTCGTAAACGTCAACATTTTGTCATTAAATATTCCAAACCATACCTTCAAAAAAGCTTTTCTGTTAAAGTTATAAGGTATTTAAGTTTGAGTGTCATCAAAATTTTAGTAACGTCATCAGCTGTTCGCCTCTTTTTAACGATAACATCGACAGCAATTCATCGGCAAGGATGAATAACGCTGAAAGCTGTTCAAAGAAACAATTTTCAGAGCTTTTGTCCCTCAGTCATTAGGAAAAAGTAAAAGTTTTTGTTCATTTAAAATATTACTTTATTCATGATACTTTCTAATTATATTATTTTTATTATTACTTTCTATCATTTGTTGTATCTTAGCTGAGAGGCCTATATCTCCATTAAACGCACTGTATTTCAATATTGATATTGCTCATATGAATGAATGAGTGAGTGAATGAATGAATGAATGAATTAATTAATTAATTAATTGATTAATTAATTAATTAATAAATGAATGAACGAATGAACAAACGAACGAATGATGCAATATACGTATATGTTAAAACAAATTGTCTGTAGAAAGTATATGAGTTGTAATATTCTAAAAATTACATATTATACATTCATTTTTCTTCCTATGCATGTCCTGTTGTTGTTGTTGTTGTTTTCTATTTCAGAAGGCCGCATTGGAAATAAGATATATATGATTGTTATTGTATGTTAATAATGTATAACCTTCTTTAAATAAAGATATTATTATTATTATTATTATTATTATTATTATTATTATAATATAAAAAGGTAGCAACATCTATTAATATGTTTCTGAAATGTTAAATTCAAAGAAAGTAAAGGCAAATTTAACGCTTAATACGAATACCCTGTATTATAACTAAATCCATCAAGTGTTATTATAAATAATGGCATATAGTAGACATATCCCATGCAGTAAATGGATGTGTAACCCGAGATGTCTGCCATGTAAAATGATTTATTTAAAAAATAAAAATTTGTATAATTTTTAAGAATGGTTATTATTTCTATTGCACTATACATTAAAACAGATTTCAAGGATAAATAACAACATGTTTTTCCATGCACTTTCATAATTTGGGTTACACAGCCATTCACTGCATAGGACTTGTCCATTATATGAATTATTTATAATAACACTTGATGGATGCCTTCATTTACAAGACTGAATATTAAGCGTTAAATTTGCCTTTGCCTTTTGACTTAAACATTTCATAAACCTATTACAGGAACTCCACTGAGGTTTATAAGCCTAAAAACATGAAATTTTATTTTTTTCACATAAAAAAACATGAGCACTAAAACATACATATTAATAAAATATAACCAAGAAATATAGGAGAAATACATTGAAAATCATATGTTTGTGCTGTTCTCAGTCCGATTTGAGTGAAAAGCGTTTAAACTCTTTTCAATTTTGGGTCATTTTTTCACTTTTATAATATTCTGGAAAAACGGAGCAAGCTAATGATCGGAAATTTTGCATATAAGTTATTAGTATAGATCTACATCAAATGGAGAAATAATCTCAAAAAAATATTTCCAGTCCCGTCATGTCAAAAAACCTTAGTGGAGTCCCTTTAATAGGTTTTGCTACCTTTTTATATTGAAATACAGTGAGGTAAATGGAGATCAAGGTCTCTAACCTAGAATATAACAAATAATAGAAAGTAATAATAAAAAGAATATAATTAGAAAGTATCATGAATAAAGTAATATTCTTAATTAACAAAAAAGTTTTACTCTTTCCTAGTTACTGTAGGACAAAAGCGCTGTTGTAAATACATGTAATTGTTTCTTTGAACAGCTTTCAGCATTATACGTTCTTGCCGATAAATTGCTGTCGATGTTATCATTAAAAAGAGGCGAACAGCTGATAACGTTACTAAAATTTTGATGACACACAAACTTAAATACCTTATAACTTTAACACAAAAGCTTTTTTGAAGGTATGGTTTGGAATGTTTAATGACGAAATGTTGACGTTGACGAATCGTATGAAAAAAAGGATAATTATCATGAGAAAATATAAGTTTTTGTGACTTCAAACTAAAAATACCGCATCTCATCGGATAGTGTGGTTATTTTCAGTCAAAATCCATGTGAAGTAAAGCTTGCACAGGGCCAGAAATTTGTTAGCATGCTCCTTTGGATGTTGACTATGAATCCATAACATTGATTTACTCGAATACAGTTGGGATGTGTTAAAAATAGATGAATACTTACCGTACGTCAATTGTATTCCCCGCGCCGACATGTATATACTGGTACAGCTGTGGACGCTGGAACAGCTGTCTGCCCATTTGATTGTACGGTGTGTTGTTTATTATTTATAAATGCGTTGCCTGCTGTCTAACGGAGATAACATTTTGGTTAGGTTATTGTCTATTTTGATGTATGCCGCTCTGGTGGGCGCAAGACGAAAATAGGACAAGGTAACCACAAAGTGGTCGTATTTTCTTATTTCCGCCTTGCGCACCGCGGAGCGAAAGTACAACAAAATGGTAACGCTGAAGTACAACAAAATGGTAACTCTGTAGTATTTTTGTGTTCTCGTTAGGTGAGCCGTGGAGAAAAATTAAGACGGCTCAAATCAGTCACGATAGCTTTACATTCTTTTTTAATTTGTTGCAAATATCAATCAATATAAACACAGGTTTTTATATAAGTTAACCTATACAATTGCATTCTTATCTGTAACCATTCATTTGTTAATTTTCGATTTCTATCTAATACTTATTTTGATCAAACAACATATTAGTGAAGTATTGTATTTTGGTGGAGATGGAATTAGATAATAACCAACATTTCACATATATCGTTGAAATATCAATTTATTAAAATGAAGTGTTAAGCACGAAAATTTAATTTTTCAAATATTTCATTGACATTTGTTCTTATCTACTAAACAAATGTGTAGCGTAATTCACAAAATCTACATTAAAACTAAAATATTCCATCATTATTCAGAATTAGAATAAACAACTGAAAGCGTTAATTTAAATTCAATTATGTAATTCATTAAACTAACTAAAAGTTTAGCAAAACAATAAAGAAGCGTGTTACAAAAATATTAGTTTTTTTCCATAATCCATTAAAATTTTAACTAAACAATTTGAAACGTTACACACAATAACTAAAATTTTCTAATAATTCGTTGCATTTTAACAAAACAATGTGAAGTCTCAATCACAAAAACACTACAAAAACTAAAATCTTCAAAAAAATTCAAAGAGATTTTAACAAAATATATCAAGCGCAAAACACAATTTCCCAAATCGCAGTGAATGATACTTTTTAATGTTTTTATGCTTTGTGGGTTTATTTCCGAGACACAAAAAAATGTTACAGGCGCATCCAAATAAACATTACTATATTTAGTACAGTACTCACCACTTGGAGGTTTGACCGTTTGCGTTGTCGTTGTTATGCTTTCAGTCGTTGTTATGTTTTCAGTAGTAGTCGATGCAGAGGTTGTGGTTACTTCTAAATTGGTCAAGTAAATAAAAAAAATATACAATCAGCACACCAGATAGTCTTTTTTCAAGCACATCCGACAACAATTATGGGTCATTACTTTAAATTGAATATAAAAATTATAAGAATGTGAATTTAAACTCAATGGCAAGCGCTCTTTTTTATTCAACACACACAAAAACACGCAATGGTAAAATCCCAAAAGAACGTCTAAAACTAAAACGACAAAATCAAAAAATATTGCAGGCTTTGCTTGATTAGGGCTGTTCAAGGACGGTATAGGAAAGTGCAAGCTACCGTCCGCGGTACTTTCGTCTTGCAGTTCATTAATCTTTTATTACTCCACAAGAGAAGTTCATTACTTTTAACTAAGAATCATATAGGTAAATCTTTGAAAATATTTTAAAACAAAACGCACCAGTCACAATTTTTTCAAGGAATTAATTTTACAGATTGTATTAAATCTATCAAAAGTAGGTTGTTTTTCTCTTTCTTATTGTACGAAACATTACATAATAATTAATTTCATCTAACAAAAGTTGGCTGCTCTGCTCATTCTTATTGTAAAATACATTACCTATACATTGAGAGCTATCTGTTGAGCCTATAGCATTTGTCGTCTGCCCAGACGGACATGATATACATGTCATCTGACCAGCGTTCGACTGATATTTTCCCTTCTCACAAAAGGTACAAACATCATCAGTAGAATGTGTGCCAGCTGGACATGCAACTACAATATAACATAAATATTTGACTTGTTAATCTCCAGTGTGGTAGAAAAACGCGAATAAACGCTGTTGATATGTCATGAAAAGTTTGAACTATTATTTTCAGAGTTATCAGGTAATAATATGACAGAATGTTACTTATAGAATATGGAATAACATAATTGACATTTTACCGCAGATATTAAAGATTCTACACATCATGAAATGTAAGCTATTGAATGATTATTTAGTATTTACCACAAATGCCATCATAAGCTGCGAATCCGCTATTGCACGTGACTCCTGCGTCAATATTTAAACTGTCGTCTGCAACAGTGTACGTCACACCGTCAATAGTGACGTTTAACAACTCATGTGTATTATTTTGAATGTATTGGGCAGTTTGTTCCAGACGATTTAAAGCGTCTATTACCTCTTGTAAAGCACCATTTGCTATTTGTAAACAGAAGACCAATGTGATTTAAAGTACTGTTAAGTTAATCACATTCTTTTTTTATAACTAACATTTAATACCAACTTTCTGTCAAATGGCATTGTCATTCCTTACCTCATTGCTCATGCGTAGACCTGTTTATTATCTAATTAGTCTCTTCTTTAAATAAGTAAAATATTATTTGCTATAGGGAGGGCTCATTCGCATCATTTGATACCATCCGCCATATTTCGGGCCAAGAACTGAAACTCTTCGCTGATTGCCATTACAAGTTATGAAACGAGGCGACATAAAATGTCAGTGGCAATATGAACGCACTATTTGCAATAAATTTACGTAAAAATTATGTCAAGACTAACAATTTAATTTTTTCTGTAAAAAGATACTAATAAAAATCGGAACAGACATAAAACGCATAAACATATAAGGTATAAAACTTACGTATTCCACTGGATATGTAGTCACTATAGTCAATGTCCGGTCCCTTAGATGTAGGGATATTAAACACAATAGTTAAAGTTGACTCATCTATATCTTTATTTGTCTGACAATTAGCAGAATCAAAGCACTGCAGGCCTGATGTTCGGTTGTTTATCAAGTCAACGAAATCTGACGCAACACTTGCGGGAATCGCTGTTACATACTCTACAGTAATATTTATGCTAACTTTACCTGGCCCAACGGGATCTGAAAGTATAGGGAAGGATTGTTGGTAGTTGGCAGACTTGGTATTGTACGTATGCAATTGAACAGAATATTGATTTGTAATTGTATTTACAGCATAATGGTGGACAAAAAATAAATGTAAACTTGTTAAATATATCAATGTTTTTATTTGATAAGCATGTTTCCTCGTAAAACATATAAAATGTAAATGTACCGGTATATGTATGACGAAGGAAAGAAAATTTTCAGTTAATTTTCTTTCATGCTTTTGTCTGGATTACAGATTTGTTGATACACGTGGGAATACTGTTTTGAAGCTTATTCAATGTAATTAACTTCATCTTACACAAACTTACTAAGAATTGACTTCTTACATCTCTATTCTCAGGTATGTGGAAATTATCAATGAAAATTTGATTAATTTTATTGCTATCTATCTCAAAATGGTTTAATTTGTTATGATAATGAGTTATGTAAATATGACATATATTATATTTAAAAGAAATAAATAGTTAAAAACAATGGATAGGTAATGAATGAATGAATGGATGGATGGATTAAAATTCTCCCCACTTGTTTATGTCAATGGCAATTCATAAACTTATAGCTGATTTGCCAATAAAAAAATGATTAATGAAAACTTTATCTGAAGAAAGTGTAGTTTAAACAAGTAAACAAAAGACTAACTTGAGTTATTCCATGGTATCTCAATTTTTTCTTACAGTTGCAACTTACCGACGCATCTGGGTGGATTTTCCAAATAATCCCATTCATAGTTGGTGCTTGGACCACATGTGTATGATTGTTCACCGTTTAATCCAGGCGGAAGCACCTTACCATCCTCGCAATATACTGAACAAGTCTCACTTCCGGCTGTGTCGTCTGTAGAACAGTTGAACAAGGTCCCGGGTGCGCTCATGAGTTCTCTACAAACTGCGGTTAAGAACAGCAATAAATACCACATAATTATTAAAGCATAAATGTTTTCAAACCATTTTTATACCAGTTATCCGACAGTTTCTCACAAATTATTCAAAGTTTAACTTAATACCACATCGTATTTTTTTGTTCACAAAAATATCAAAATTCTTTACATGTGTAGAAAAGGAAACATTTCGTCTTACCAGGGCAAGCATCTGTGTTACATGCTCTAGTCTCTATAGCGTCACCATCACAATCAGCACCGTGTGTATCTGGAACGGGGCTGTTACATTGTCGGGTTCTATTCATACTTCCAGTTCCACAAGTCCTTGAACATGCTGATACCGCCCAGTCTGACCAGCCGCCATCCACTTTAGTAAATTTAAAAAAATACTTGGAAAAGAAACCTTTTTCTTCACCAAAGCAGCTATTGTTATGACAACTCGTAGCTTTTTACCATGAAAAAACAAAAACAACAAAAAAAACAACAACTAAACGTTCGTTTTCTTATTTCACGCGTAAACTTTAAAAATATTATAACAATATGAATAAGCTTTCATATTTCACCGTTATTCACATAACCCTTACCTGGAGAAATTTCACAAAATGGGCCACTGTACCCTGGAATACAACTACACGTGTAATTGGTAGTTCCACTTACACACGTTGCATCATTTTCACATGCATTACCATTGCAATTATCCGGTGGCGTCGTACAATTTGTTCCTGACCAACCTCCATCGCATGTACAGATGTAACTGTCTTGAACACTGGTACAGTTATTTCCGTTACATGGGGACGACAAACACGCGTCAAATGCTGAAGAAAGGAAAAAGAATATTTGCTGATAAATCCTGTACTTCTTTGCATGAAACATGGAATATCTTATTGTGGTGAAGGTGAAAATCATAGAAATTGTGTTATTAATAGTGATCTAGTTTTCATTAAAGGTAACGGTTCTTGTGAAACAATAAGGATAACACAGCTGCGTCTTAATATTGAAACATATACATGACATAATATAGGATGTCACTTAAACAAGGTCAAGGACGAGTTTTGAACACCGCAAAATAAAGATGTATTTATATTTAAAGATAATATACTTACTTTTGCATTCGTCAAGTGAGGTACTGTACCAGAAGGACATTGTTTACATGCAGTCTGTCCATATTCATCTTGGTAGTAACCAACGGGACATGCGCTGCAAATCTCGATCCTATTTGGAGAATATGTGCCCGGACTACATAATTCTGAAAGAAAGCATAAATTAAGTTACCTTTTGTATCATTCAATATAACACGGTTGGAACATTAATTTTTATGTAAGTATATTCTGTAAGTTCTCTCAATTTGAGATCTTATCTTGCAAATGTTCGTGCTGTTTAGACAATAAGGTCATGCACTGTGCATGCGTGTCTGCGTGAGTGACTGCGCGGGCGCGTGTGTGTCTGTGTACGCGCGCGCTCGCGTATGTATGTGCTTTGGAACATATTATTCATTGTACTTCAATTAAAGTATCTTGCACTTAAGGAGTAAAACTGGCATTATGCACACAAAAAAAAAGAAATGAAATTTAACAAACTGCAAATGTTGGTATGATTGAATTATTTAAATACCTTTGGAAATACAAAATTATCAAAAAATTGTTTAATCTTTGCAATACATAGTTATAACATGTATCAATGTTTCCTATTTCTGACATAGATTCAAGTTATACACTAAGCTATCCAATACAAACTTTACGTAAATAACGAACAAGACCCACACACGCACGCGCGTGTGGGTACACGCATTATTGTTTAATTAAGCATGAATTTGCTTGCCTTAAACTAAAACGTTAATATAAATGTTAATATCAAAAAGACACTTGTCCACTTGGACTTAAGTCTTACCAAATGATTGGGAGCATGAATTAAGAAAATATAAGGAACTTACTGACACACTCAGTCTGGGACTTGGACCCGGATTCCTGTGTCGTGTAGCCACTTGGACATGATTTACATGTGCTTTCACTTTCAACGTCCTTGTACTGACCAACTGGACATTGTTCACACTGGTTACTTGTTGAGTTAAGGAGATAGCCGACTGGACATGGCTCTGTAAGAAATAATATGTTTATCATTTCTTATGTTATGAAATTTAATTACAAATATATAAGATTCAGAAGGTAATGCTGAAAACTACAAACCTATGCAAATATCAGCAAATAAATGGTATTATTTGTATAAAAGGAACTTTATGTATATCTTTAGCATCTAGGACTAATAATGATGCCGCGTTCAATAATTACCAGAACTAAAATTCTTATTCTTTTTTTTACATTTTTGTTGATTTCTTCACCCGGTTATTAAAAAACCTTCTCATAAAAGCCATGGCTACTTATTACTCATTACCCAAACTTTAAGTAAATGTTACAGCGACGATCTTGTTCAATTTCTTGTCGCTGCGGATGGCGAGCTGAAGATAACGGGGAATAATCCTCGTTAAAATTAGTGTGATACGCTAAAAAATAGTGCCACAATGTAATGATCGTTTATAGAAAGCCCCTTACTACATGTTGATCTGTCCAGCATATAACCATCGTCACATATTATATCTCCATAACTTGGCGTTGCAAAGGAATCGTTCTTCAGCACAAAATTTTCGATGGCAAAGGTACCATTGTTTACCAGATCTTGGACAAGGGGTTTCAGTATGTTGAGTTGTATATCGTCGTAATATGCAAGCGCTTCAGCAAATGTTGTGTTGGTTAAGTTTAGATGTGTGACTATATAGAATTCTAAAATTAGCAGATGGGACTCGGTGTTACGCTTCTCAATGTGATGATATATTGATGTCACTGAAAATATCAAGAATAAGTAAATGTAATTACAATTATCAAAGGAAATGGTACATAATGTACACACTGAAAATAATGGGAATTTAGAGTAGATTCACGTGATAATCACGTGTCACATGTATGAAAAATGCCATACATCTGGAGCTCAGGACGTTAATAATGCCATTTCGTCAATTGGCATCGGTTCGAAAAGATTTTGCGACAGTATTAACAACACTTTTGCAGTAAATAAATAAAACATTTGTCACAATTCTGCAGTAAATAAGTAAAATATTTTGTTACAATTCTTGATAATTTTACCGGTTTCTGTATCATTTCTTGAAACAATTTACAAAGCAGCAATTTCTTTGCTACCAAATTAAAGTACTCGAACATAAATCACAATGTGTTAAGCAGACTACTTTAACAAACAAAACTAGAAAAGATGCGTCGAGTTGGTCTTAACTACTCTTTAGGCCCTTCCGTGGACTGTCATTTAAGATGAGATAGTTTTGACCTTGTAAGGCTCGAAAAACCCTTTGTCCCATTTTCTATTCATATTTTTATTTTTTTTTTTTGATTTAACTCAGTAATTAGAAAAGTTTTTCCAATTTAAACAAATATTTAATAAAAATCTTAAAACTTAATTGCTGGAAAAATCAATAGAAATGACCGATAATCCTAAAAAAATTTTTTTTTCCCCAAAAAATTTGGCGGGGCTTCTTTTAAAAAACAAAGAAAGGAAAAATCTTATTAAAATTTTCTTAAAGGGGGGTGACGACTAAAATTCCGGCCAAGATTTCCTCATTTGGTTGGGCCCAAGAACTAAAAAAAATTTTCGGCAATACAGTTCCCCAGATGGACAGCTTTAAAATATGGGTTAACGCAATAAGTAGGAAAATTTTTTTTATTTTATTGTGGCATATGAATTCCCCCATAGAAAATACTCGGGTAACTTTAATGGGATTTTGTTCTTGAAAAATAAATTAATATAAAGTAAAATTTTCCTGGGGTACATTTAAATAAAAATTTTTTTCATTTAACTATTTTAAAAAATTTTTGGGGGGGGGGGGAAATAAAACTTTTGTACAAAATAAACAATTCACAATTAAGAAAAATCTTTTTGAAACTTGACTTAAAACCAAAGGCGAAAAAAAAATTTTTATTTTTTTTTTTTAAAAAAATTAAAAAGGGAAAAAGAAATTAAAAAAAATAAATAAAAAAACAAAGTTTTAGCAGAAAAATTTTTTTAAGAGATGCCACTCAATATTTTAAAATTTTGTGATTTTCAGTTAAAATTTATTGTTTGTAAAAAATTGAATAGAAAAAGAAAACAAAAATTTTCAACAATCTTTTCAAAGTTTTACTTAAATAAAATAATTTATAAAAATTTAGAAAATAACGTAAAGTTTTTATTCGAAAGTGTTTCAATAAGCTTATAGCTTCCAACACAATCAAACTCAAATAAATTTATATAAACTAATAGTTTTTTGTTCTCAATTAGGTATAATTCGGACTAATTCCCTACAGGTAAATCCGTAACGTACCGGCAAACGGTATTTAGCTGGGTTTTCGAAAAGGTCAATTAACCAATCATATACGGTTTACAGATCACGTGCTCCTCCATGTACCGAAAACAAGTCACGTGCTCCTCCATGCCTCAAAAGTTAAACGCGTACCAATACCCTGCGGTCTCCAGACCGCAGGGAATAAATCTCCTACACGGAAAACTGCTGAAAACATTTTTCCTCTTTACGCTTTAAGGTGATTTTTTTTAAATAGATAGAACTATTATCATGTATTAATTTAAACCATACTTATATTAATGTATTAAAACATAATTATTTCATCTGAAAAGAAAACGTTCGATTTATCATTCAATGACATCACCTTAAACTACTTGCAAATTAAGTCAATAACGACCATATTTATTAAAGATATACTATGCTCATCAATGAGTGAAATATTTTAATCTCCGAAATTTATTGAAAACTATAAAATTCTTATTGAATATGTCATATTTGAATAAAAGAATTAATAAACTATGTATTGGAAGATTCGTTCCTTATAGCAGGTCAAAAAAGTTAGTCTTTCTTAAAACAACTGCCAATTTATCTAATGATACTATACGTATATATTCAAACCTTAACCATACAAACCTAATTTGTGTGATGTCACAACATATTATAAAGAGAATGTGTAGCAATGATCAATATTTTTAATGTCAGATTTGAGCATAGTATAGCTTTAATGATAAAAAAAAAACTGGAAAAAAATGAAACAACACAATTTGAAATTCTTAGACAGACCAAGTTAATCATTTTAAATGGGAAAATCTGCATAGGGTAGCAAAATAATTACTTAGAATAGAATTGAATATCGGTTGTTTGTTCAATTCATAGTCCGATTTGAATGAAAAGCGTTCCAAAGCTTTTCATTTTTTAATGATTTTGCACATTTGAAATAATCATTCTGGGAAAATGGATGACAGGAATGGTCTGAAAATTTGCGCACAAATTCTTTGTTCAGACCTCCATCAAACAGATATAGGAAAATTATTATTATTATTGTATTGTGTTCAAATGACCAATCAACTCGTAAACATAGACAACAAAGGTAAATGTGTTCAAATGACCAATTAACTTAACATAGACGACCAAAGTAATTGGGTTCAAATGACCAATTAACTCGTTAACATAGACAACCAAAGTAATTGTGTTCAAATGACCAATAAACTTAACATAGACGACCAAAGTAATTGGGTTCAAATGACCAATAAACTTAACATAGACCACCAAAGTAATTGTGTTCAAATGACCAATTAACTCGTTAACATAGACGACCAAAGTAATTGTGTTCAAATGACCAATAAACTCGTTAACATAGACATCCAAAGTAATTGTGTTCAAATGACCAATAAACTTAACATAGACAACCAAAGTAATTGGGTTCAAATGACCAATAAACTTAACATAGACGACCAAAGTAATTGTGTTCAAATGACCAATAAACTTAACATAGAAAACCAAAGTAATTGGGTTCAAATGACCAATAAACTTAACATAGACCACCAAAGTAATTGTGTTCAAATGACCAATTAACTCGTTAACATAGACGACCAAAGTAATTGTGTTCAAATGACCAATAAACTTAACATAGACAACCAAAGTAATTGGGTTCAAATGACCAATTAACTCGTTAACATAGACGACCAAAGTAATTGTGTTCAAATGACCAATTAACTAAACATAGACGACCAAAGTAATTGTGTTCAAATGACCAATTAACTCGTTAACATAGACGACCAAAGTAATTGGGTTCAAATGACCAATAAACTAAACATAGACGACCAAAGTAATTGTGTTCAAATGACCAATTAACTCGTTAACATAGACGACCAAAGTAAATGTGTTCAAATGACCAATTAACTTAACATAGACGACCAAAGTAATTGTGTTCAAATGACCAATAAACTCGTTAACACAGACGACCAAAGTAAATGTGTTCAAATGACCAATAAACTCGTTAACATAGACAACCAAAGTAAATGTGTTCAAATTACCAATTAACTTAACATAGACGACCAAAGTAAATGTGTTCAAATGACCAATTAACTCGCTAACATAGACGACCAAAGTAATTGTGTTCAAATGACCAATTAACTTAACATAGACGACGTAAGTAAGTGTGTTCAAATGACCAATTAACTTAACATAGACGACCAAAGTAAATGTGTTCAAATGACCAATTAACTCGCTAACATAGACGACCAAAGTAATTGTGTTCAAATGACCAATCAACTTAACATAGACGACGTAAGTAAGTGTGTTCAAATGACCAATTAACTCGTTAACATAGACGACCAAAGTAAGTGTGTTCAAATGACCAATTAACTAAACATAGACGACCAAAGTAATTGTGTTCAAATGATCAATTAACTCGCTAACATAGACGACCAAAGTAATTGTGTTCAAATGGCCAATCAACTCGTTAACATAGACAAACAAAATAAGTGTGTTCAAATTACCAATCAAAAGACATTTACAATATTTTTATTCTGCAATTCAAGCTTAGGTTTAAACCTATACACTATACATGTTTATATTTGTATGGCTATAAATATTGTTTGTATTTAATGCCAATGTTCTGTTCTATTATAGTTAAACGTTTTTGAGTCAGATTTAAATCGCTTTCGACTGAGTTAACTAGACAAAACACGGGGAAATATTGCTATGACCAAAGGTAGAAGTTATCAGCCGAGGGTAAGACGATAGAAGCACAGTGTTATTATCACTTTCTTTAACCGTGGAGTATGAGGGACCTAATAATCCTGATATACCATACCTATACAATCTGGCACTAACGAAAATGGGGTCCAGTCACCATCGTCTGTGCAGAAAAACTGGCCATTAAAACTGTTGCCCATATCTGGTATATCAAATTGATCATTGCAAAGCATAGTGCGAAACGGTCTTGTCAAAACTGTGTCATGCACCAGAGCCCCATTGATTGGTGGCTGAAGTTCAGGACAAGCGATTTCTGCAAATAGAATATACATAAAACGATATTGATAATTTCGTTTACACATTGAGCTTTTTATAAGAAACATACATGTATAACATATGACTTTACTCTGTCTTCTAACCACGTGTTTGATATGTTTATATTAGCTTCACTTATTTTTTATAAATAACGGCACATCTCACGTTTGTTCACGAAATGCGTGAGCACGTGACAATATAACCGCAATTGTACAACTGTTCTCAAACCTACCCCTGCAATAAGGCTTGTCACCAGATTCCCAGGACCAAACGCCTTCTGAGTGGCCATTGTCCTCACACGTGATCAGATTAGCGCCCTCTAGTGGCAAGTACGCGGTGCATGACAGCTGACACGATGTACCATAAGCATATCCGGTGCTCGGTGTTGAACAATTGACTCTCATGTAATCGTCAGTAAAACTATCTAATGGATGGTGGCAGATTATTTCTGCAACAGAGAGGAGAGTTTTAGTTGAAATATCCGGATTCAAGACAGAGCTTAAAATGTAAAATCTTGTATTTTTGCTTTGATCCTAATTAAAGATACCATCCGGTAAATAAGCAATCTCTTTACGCATTGGACAAAAATGCATTTATTGTTGCCATATTATAGCTAAAGGACTGTCAAATATATTTCGACCGGATTGGGTTGTAGGATACTTCCTTGCATCGACTGAAGTAAAAATTTGCTTGTTGTGTTAGAGTGTGTACTTAAAAACATGAATAAATGATGTATCGTATATTAAAGGTCTTACACGAAATAAATACCTTTAATACGAAGTTCGATAAAGCATTCTTGAGATTCAGCGCCATCAATGTCAACGGCCTTATATTTTACAATTTCAGTTCCCACTTCTAGAACTGCTCCCATTGTTGGTCCAAACGTTTGTACAATGGTAGGATTGTCGTCCGTTACGTCAGAAGCTGTAGGAAGTTGCCAGTTAACTGATGTTGACGTCACACCTCGGTCAGCATAAAAATTCTGTGGAGTTACACACGAAATAGTCGGCGGCGAGTCATCTAAATTTGATTACAAAAAGAATATTTAAAAAAAAAAGAATATTCAGAAATGCGATTATTCATTAAATAATCAAATCAATTTCTGTTTAGATCACTGTTTTGAACTATGACGTCACAATTCTGATATAATATATTATATACACTAATGTAAAATTGCGTAATTTATTTTTTTCTATAGTTATTTTATATAAAATCACATTTTCAATTATATAGCATCTTACCGACGCATGATGTGACTCCAACATTTGACCATGTTCCGTCTGCCCGACACTGCATAAAGTAGACTCCTTTAAGGGTGTACCCGATGTCACATGTCATCGAACATACAGACCGGTAGCCGTACTCTGGATCCGAACACTGTGCCGTTGTATGCTCAGGAAAACTTGGCTCCATACACGTGATTTCTGCAGAAAATAAATATAGTCGACTCTCGTTATCTCGAAGTCACCGGGACAATAAAAAATATCGAGATAACGAAATGTCGAGATAAACATACATTCTTAATATCTTTGCATTCGACTTGCATTTGATTTCTGGAAGTCTATATAATTCTGCCTAATATTCTGTAAAATTCATTCTTACAGTTTCATTATGAAGAAGAGCACCGCTGACTTGTGCCGAGAAAAGACAAACCTTAACTCATACACCTTGTAAATGTTTTGTATTTAGCTGTTTTGATATTTTCAGGCTTTATTGACATCATCAGGGCAATTAACTACACGGATTCCAACTATGTAGGTTCTTACATACATTAATGTCACCAGTATCGGCTTATTAAGGACATTAATCACAAGCATAAGAAAGGACTTAACATATTTCTTAAATAAAGTCAAATTTTTTTTCTCGATTATATTGAAATTATTTAAACAATAAAAGATAGTCCAAACCTTATTAACTTTCAACAATAATAAAGCCTCCGATATTAACTTACTTTTACAAGCTGGAATTGCTGACCAAGATGGCGACGCTGCGTTTTCACACGTCACTATACTACTTCCGATCAGCTGGTACCCAGTGTTGCATGTGTAATGACATGAGCTCCCAAGAATGTTCTTGTTTTCACACGTTAGGGCACCATTAGGAGGCCATGCCAGGGATTTACAGGTTAATTCTTGCAGAAAACAAAAAGAATTTCATATTTAAGGCTCATATAGTTTACGCCTTACACTAACAATTGTTCTTTTCGTAACGTTTGCTTTGCAACTTGCCCCTTACCACTTTGGGTTCGAATCCCGACAGGGACTTTGGATTCTTTCATGTGAGGAAGCTTTCCAGCCAGCTTACAGAACGTCTGTGGTTCATGCAATATAAAATTTGATGCTTTTCAGGGGAATGGAAAAGTGCTGTATTGCTTATTTCTGTGTCTCTATCCATATGTGTTTTGTAACAAGTCATCAAATTCTTATATCTACCATTTAATATAATGGTATCAAAAGTAAATACATGTTTATCTAAGAGTTAATCATGAAGATTTTATACACGTTCTGAAAACTGATTTTATTATCTTTACAAATCATCACAGAATATCAAAACAATAAACGACATAAATACAAAGGATATATAAAATTGTTTAAAATTAATATAAAGTACAAACGTTTGAGTAGGTGTAAATCTACACAATCAACTTGTATAGATAGATAGATAGATTTATTTCGGCAAAAGAAGCATATACATAGTTGGCAATATAACATAGGATAACATAATGAGCATTATTAAATACTATATCACATACGAGAAAACTATGACATGCTCACCAAAACCAAGGATAACACAAAAAAGGGCAAAAAAGCTCTTATTTCCATTGTGGTCCTTTGTATTGGCGGCATGACATAGAGAGGCAGACCTAAATAAAATCATGTTTTAAAATACTAATAAATCATAAAAATGTATATCACAGTCAAATCTTGAGTTAATGATACTCCTGTTTACAGCTAGGATTTAAAACACATTACTAAAATTGTAAAAAGATAAATAGCAGACAATTTAAAATCCTGAGCCGAAATATGTAAAAACATGGTAAAAAAAAAATTAAATACTGTTCATAAGATGACTTTTGATGGCAACCTTAAAACTTTGTAACCTGTTGATCTCCGTTAACTCTACAGGTAAATCATTCCATAATTTAATACCAGAGAAAGCAAAGGATTTAGAACCCTGACCTTTGACCTTAGGTAGACAATACCCACCCTTTTGACTACTCTTGTACTATAATTATGTATGGAATCTTGCGAAATAAAGTGTTCAGACATGTAATCCGGAGATAGGCCATTTTTTATCTTAAAAACATGACACAACATTATCTGTTCAACTCTTTTGTGGACCGGTAACCAGTTAAGGGACTTAAAGCGGGATGGGTCAATATGGGCTCTGGAGTCTAAGTCAAGTACAAATCTCATTATTTTGTTTTGACAAGTGTGTAACTTATTTTTTAAAGACTGTGTCAAGCTATTATACCAAACAGAGCATGCGTAATCATAGTGACACTGAATAAGAGACATAACCAGAAGTTTCTTGGTATGCTGAGTAAGAAACTCTTTCTTGCGGTAAAGACATTTTAACCGAGAGTTGGCCTTCTTAAGAACAGACTCGGCCATGGCCCAAAATGACAGATTTTGGTCTATAGTAATCCCAAGATACTTGATAGATGAAGTTGATTCAATGGATGTACCAGAACAGGTTATATGCAGGTTAGATTGTGACCTAAGCTTTTGTCTGGACCCAAATAAAATTGACTCGGTTTTACCCATGTGCAATGACAACTTATTGTCCACTAACCATTGGCTGACCAATTCCATATCATCTGCCAATTACAACAACAGATTAACTTTTACCAGATACAAGGATACCAGAATCATCAGCATACAAAAGCAATTTATAATATAATCATGTACGTTTTAAAATGTTTGCAATTCAATTAACACAAATATACAAGCTATTTTGTAATAATGAGCAATCGAGATTGTAAATTTTTGCTCTCATACAAACCAAATACAATAAAATTTGAAAAAAAATAGTAAAAAAAACCATAGATTATACAACATAAAGACAACATACCAGTGACCGTGAAGGAAAAGAAACAATGCCCAGTAAGGCCGTCTGAATCTGTGGCTCTATAAGTTATATAATGAGTCTTTCCATAAGTAGCGCCATCAAATCGCCCTCCATTTCTACCACCACCAACTTGTGTAACACTTAAATAGAAATAATGTTTAGCATGTATGCAAACACAATTAAAACTTCTTCTTTTATCATAGTTATTCTTGACCATGCAAGAATCATTTTACTATATCTTTTCTCGTAGTTGGTAATTAATACTTTGTTCGTACAACATAAAGGTGTATCATTTCAAGGCAAGTACACTCATTAGAAGATGAAAAACTAAATGTGTAACCTCGGAGTGCCTCCGTCTCTATCCGAGGCTTTTGGCACGGTCCATCTAACGACAACACTGTCATCTCCGGCATCAATATTGTAATTACTTTGGATATCGTTTGGTTTGCATGGATCAGGAAAAGAAGGCGGGTACTTGATTGTAGTTCCACCACCTCCACCACCACTTGTACCTTATTTGAAGAAAGACAAAATCAATGAGAAAAATCATGAAAATAGTGTCAATACAATAAAATTATGCGATTACGACAAGATTGTACAATGTTGTGCATTCGATTTGTCAGTTTAAGTAATTATGCATTTATAATATATTATTAAAACAATTTTAACATCACCCTAGGTTATAGATAAATTTATCGTAGCAATAAAGGCATTGATCTGTTAGGGGAAAAGAAATAGCTTAATCTAATATACAATATCAAAGTAAATTTCACCTATAAATCGCTTACAATTATATAAGGGCTACAATAATGATGTATGCCTTACATGAAATATTCATGAGCTCTATTATGTTAAATATATTTTGAGTTTGAATCATATCGAGGCAATCATCCTAATAAGCATTCGTTTAAATTGTTATTAACTTATGGTTGGACCATTCGTTTTTATCCTAGTAAACTCTAATTTGCTTTTATTTTGTGACCGATTTTTAATGCCAGACAATAATTCCTCAGAAAAAAAAGTTTGAGATTATTTTTTGGAGAAAGATGAATGTCCCATCAAATTTCTGACCTGTTTTATTTTAACAGAATTATCATTGTGTATAGCCAAATGTTCTAATTACTCTCACATCTGAGAGAAGTAGTTTCTTATGTGAGCTAAATGGAGATGCGCTTACATAAGCTAAAAGGGTATTGAAACAGAAAAGTTTCAATTAAAAAAAAGAAGTGTACACTTATATTTAAGCTTGGATACTGATCGTTTAAAACGTAATATTTTCGTATGGTATAACAATAGCAAACGGTGGAAATATAATTTGAAGATAAAAAACATCACGTCTCTATTCATTAATTTCCCACCGTCTTTGAGATACAAGAATGTCGTATCTTTAAGTGTTTGAAAAAGGCTTATGAATAATATTGATTATACTGTCAGTAGTGAGGTGTAAAAACAAAGTTGCATGTCGATGATTCTTCATATATTACAAAGCAAAGAAAATGAGTTTATAAATAACTTTACTAAGCTGCACTTGGTTGTGAAACGTATAATGAACTTCTAACAAAATTCGTATAATGAACTTCTAACAAAAAGTAAGGGTTTCTGAGAAGGTTGAGGACAAAGTGACAAATGCTTTCCTTGTTCGGGATATATAAACACTAGTATGTACAAGTAGTAAATTTTATGATTTGAAGAAAAATATTAAAACATAAATTTAATGATCCGATAAGATAGTTTAATCATTAATATTAGGTAAGAACTATTTATTCATGCAAAGAAAAAAACATGAATTTTGACTTTCTTTACCCAAATACACTTGTATTATCTTACTGACAAAACTGGAAATATTCAAAATCACGGAAATTTAAAACAAGTCTTCTTTAAAACTGTAAAGTTTTAATCCAATTATTCTTTGACATATCAGTTTGTACTAAACGTGACAACGAACTATAAAAATATATATCTGAGTGTTAGATACAAGATCCCATAAAACATAAAAAGGATGCTTCATGTCGCTTTGTTTCCTTACATCCCTTGTCCCTTTAATTCCCTTATTGGCTCCTTTTAATTCTTATCATTTCCATTCATGTCCATCTCCTCCTTTTGCCGCCTTTGTGTCCTCTCTTGTTTTAGTTACCAACTGGGTGCCCTGCTGGAATGGCTGGATTGTGCCAGGGTTGCGTTCCGTGAACGTCATCAACTTTGTCTGTGAGCGTCATCAATTTTGCCTGTGAACGTAATCAACTTTGCCTGTGAACGTCACCAACTTTGCCTTGTTGATCTTCGTTCTCATTTTATAGTAGATCAGTAACATCTCTTGAAAGGAACCCAAAATTTCTGTAAAACGATGATCTGCTATATAAGAACAATATCATAATGGATGAAATTCAATCATTGAAAGGAAACATTATTAATAGCAAATTTCTTGCCAATTGCAAATAGAGTAACCGTAGTGCATTTGACGTCAAAAAGGTCAAGGTCACCTAGAACATCATTAACTAGAGAAAGATGTTCTACAGTCCTATAGTCTGACAATCATTAGTCGGTGACTTCTTTAAATCATGGATTCATAAGATTAAAAGTCAAGGCCACAGTGACTCTGTGTAGACAACGTGCCCTATCAATTACTTTTGTTTAAACTATGTCATTTAATTGGGTAGGGACATTGCCTTTAACAATAGATGCTTTATTCTGATTTGGTGTCTGTTAGATACAGCGACACTATCGTATTTTGTCTGATCATTTGATTGACAAGAAGTAAGTCAAAATTAATGTTACTTTGTCCGTGGTGGAGTCAATTATTGATCAATACGATACTGGCGTCCAGGCGAACTACATCAATTCTTTAATGTAAACGTCACAATTACTTATGTCGTTTGAAATATGGTGATGGTTTATTTAAAATATATAACTCAAAATTTTAAGTGATGCAAATTGATGTAAAAGAAAGGCCTCACTGGCGCCATAAGCTCTTCATGAAAAGAAAGATTTAGTCATTTTCCCACAACGTTATTCCCGTTTCCACAGTCAATGTCTTCATAGTACATGTAGTAACGTTTTAACGATTTATCTTTTTCCAAGAGCAAAATTCTAATTTCTTGTAAAATCATGTGTATAAGAATTAGTCTTTGGTTTAATCTACATGTATCGGTTCTTTTAACACTTTTGCACTACTTTTCTAAAGCATGCATTTATTGTATATTTTCAACCAGATTATAATAAAAGTTAAGATTTACGAATAAGAATAAACAATGTAATCATAAATGCTTTTAACAATGTTCTAATAGAACAAGTCTTAAAAATGATTGCTATGATTATATTGTAAATAAATGGCAAGTCAACCAAGTGGTATTGGAAATGAATACCAGTATTGTTATGCAAAAAGAATAAATGACACAATTGTCAATATCTATAAACTGGGTACAATCATATTGGAGTGGCTTCATTCACATAAACCATTAACATTGTTAAATCATAACATGTCAAGGTACACTATTTTAGCAAACAAAATCAACACATTCAAAATTCTTTACTTCAATATTAATCTATTAATCGTTATTAAATTGTAATTTTGGTAAAGACCGGTAGTCAAAACATTTTCGCCTAACACTCATTCCAATATAAACTTCCTGCTATGAAAAGGTATTCTTTAATCGTCGTTAGCTCAGAAAAGGCTGTCAAAATCACGCTTCAAGTTGAACAGACATTGCAGATGAAATACATTTTTGACGATGGTCTTAACCATGTACCATAAAAAATACTATTTCCCCTCTTCAGTCTGATATAATGTGACTTTAAGGGATAAAGGAAATGAGTTGAGATTGTCATGTTTTTCATAGGACAGCCAAATTATACAGTATATTGTAAGTTAGTAAAGTAAATACTTATCTGATTGCATTAGTGATTCATATCTTTAAAAGAAAACTAAGAAAACAAACTTTTAACTATGAAATTAAATGTTCTTGACAATTAAAGGGTGGTAGGGATAAAGGAACATAAGAAAAAAGAAATTCAGTTGGAAGCAGTTTTTGCTATACATTTTGGGCAAAAATCCATGAACCTAGCTGTCTCGTAACTATCTGTGACTTTAGAAGTTTTTGTTTGAGACTTATATGAGAGATGGCAAACATTTTATCTTATAAAATATGATTAGTTATACTAGTAATGTAGATTTAAAACTATACAATTCTATTCTTTTTAAAGCTGAAACGCAACATACCTTCAAAAGGCCATTTTATAATTTTTTATTTCAGTATTTTCAGATACATGAAATTCCCATATTATAGCTACTGTAAAGCGAGTACAGTGTTATATGTTGTTATAAAGTGACTTTCAACCAAAATAAAACTTATCACATGCATCATATAAATATGAAATATAATTATGATTAGTTTGTCAGTTTTAAGTAACAGTTTTAAAGATGTAAACTTTTTTGAAAGTTACTCCTTAAATCAATGGAATTTTACCAAGTGAACGATTTGGGGAAAAAGTGTGCTCTAGTTAATTTAATTAAACATTTTCATTATTCAATTTAGATAACTATACACGTTTATGTGTACATTTGAAGAAAGGATAGTTATCATATATTAGAAACATTTCGTAGTCTTTTGCGTCACCGTAAATGCGATTCCGACGATATTATACGATCGTATATAAATTACAAGATATTATAAAGAAAAATGGTGTCGTTTAACAATATCTATATTTTACGAAGTTTAATAGATTTGTATTACTTTAAAGATTTTTTTTAACTTTATTATGACCAAACAAATGTAAAAATCTTTATATTCTTTCCGATTGAATAACGTCCGTAATATGACCAAATTAGTAGTTTACTTTCGTTTTCCTATGGTAGGCTTAATTTTCCAACGGTACTTTATTTTACCATTAAATCATGTAGAAAGAAATTCAATCTAGATTTAAAGTTTAAATGCTTCATTTAAATCGGTATAGTTAACAATAAATCTCCGCTTTTATTTATTTTCATCACCCGACTTGATTTGTAAATACACATCATGACCTTACTTATTTTTTTTAAATGTGTGCCTATAGCAAAATTCTTAAATATTTTCACGATCCAGTTTGTGTTATGCAAATGACTTAAAAATAATGTCACTTTCTGTCTTAAATTAAAACTTAAGTTCTGATTATTGCAACTTGCTCTTTTAGTCAAAATACTCGCGCTAATTGCCTTACTATAACTTTCCAGTACGACAAACAACTTTTAGAACATTGTTGATACCCTGCAATCGTTATATACTGCTAAATTGCAAACCCAAATGTAACTCTTTCCAGACAGGTACTTTTTCAGCTTTGGCAATATAAAAAGCTAAAGCTAACACGGGGCCAAATCAGACGGGGAAGGAGGATGTGGGAGGAGATGTTTAAACATACGCCAAGATTTTCACGAAATAAAGAACAAATAACATTATTTCTTAAAATTGCTTGTATGCATTTGTGTATATACAATAAGAGGTACAAATGACCATGAAATGAAACCACAATGTTAATAAATCACAAACCTAAACGTGGATCGTATCTTCACTAGCCGTAAACATAAAAACATACCGTTTTGTGTACCAAAATGCGGCCGAAACACGAAAAGCATACCGTTTTAATGTACGTACCTGCGCGGAGACACGAAAAGCATACCGTTTAATGCACCTACTAAAAGAATATTATTTATGTACGTTTTTCGGCTGAAACACGAAAATCATACCATTTTATGTACGAACCTGCGCGGAGACACAAAAAGCGTACCGTTAGCGTGGGAATACTACCTGCATACCGTTTTCATGTACGTGAAGTGCACACAAAACGACGAGCAATTTTAGCCATTGCAAGGCGTAAAATTGAAATATTGTTGTGTTCTAAATATTTTTTCTGTATATCATGTTCTTCATTTGTTTTTATTTTTCAGCCTTCGATGACAAAAAAAATTAGGAATTTATTTACCTGAACTTTATACGCATGGTTATCAATATCAAATTAACCATAAGATACTACATCACCCTTTGTTACAGAATTCTTTCATAATTCCGTACGTAATATTTGTTTGGCTTATCAAAATGAATAACATTTGTGTGTGGGAAAAAGAATGAAGATAAAAAATCAAATGTCGCTTTCAGATTTTATGACCCAAGTGTAACGTGAATTATCTATTTTAATAAAACAAGTTTACTAAGAAGTAGAACTTTAAAAAGGGAGACATAACTTGAAAAAAAAATGAATTAGATCTAAACGTTTCTTGACCTCTAACAATGCATTTTAATATAAAACGAACGACAGGGTATTACAAGTTTAAAGTGATATCGATCGTGTTTGCATAATTGACCATTATCATTAACAAACATTAACTCATAAAATCGGTGCTTCAATTATAGTATTATGTTTTGATAATGAACACGTATATCAAGTTTGACAGGAATAGTTTCTAAGATAATGAAACCATTAACAAAACGATTAACAATGGTTGGAAACGGAATAACTTTTCATAAAATAATTGAAGTATATCCGTCCGTTTTAAATTACTTTAATTTCAATAACCATGTAAAACAAGGTTAAAAGTGCATGTCAACGGCTTTCTTTCTTCGAAAATTGGAGCTAAAACTTAACACACATTGTAGCGTTTTTATTGTCTATAAACCTGTCAGCCTTATTACATAAGTAGCTTAGTATGAATAGTCTATTAAGTTAGTATTGTTGTTTAAAAAAAAGCCGTTTCATTATTTCTGTATCAATTATTTATCAAGTGTACTAATACTTATTTCGACTTACAGAAGAAGAAGCAAGATACAGCTCGAAAAAGTCTTCCAAGGAAGCGCTTCTTTCTATGCAACGATGCTGTTGAGAAAAAAAAATGTTCACATATTTAAATAGGATAATATCTTTTACTTTGCGACTAATATAAATATCATTTGAAATTTACGGTTAATGAAACATTCCTTTAGTTTTATAAAAGTCTTGTAGATTTTGTTAAAAATATTTCCATTTAAGCAGAAATTATACAAATGTAAGTATTTCTTTCTTAGGAATATCGTTCGGTTTGCAAAGGTTTGTCATTATACGTGACAATATGTAATAAGGTAATAAGAGATGTGTCAGTATATGTATACATTCTACGAATTCACATTGACCATTTAATGATAATAAACATTTTTTGTAATTCTCTTTTGGAATGTGTTATTTATCATTTGTTTTCAGAGAATATGTCTATCATTTGAATTTATATCATACCGACAGAGCTATCAGTTCCCGACCAATAACCATGTTGACAGGTATACACAACTTCGCCACCTCCTGCTGTGCACACTCCCTGGTGCCTGACCGTATTATCATCAACATCCAATTCCGAGCAGTAATCTATGTTTATTAAGTTTTCAATTACGTCAATAAAACATTTCTGTTGTGTAAATTCTGCATGAAATCTCTGAAGAAGAAGAAGTTTTTATTTGTTTATTTATTTCTTAATTTATTTTTTTAGTCGGTTTTGTTGTTGTTGTTTTCAGTGAATGCATTGTAGGAGCCAATCTTGTCTCGGAGCACATTTGTCTTACGTAAGACCGATGCGGTCGCATTTGTCTTATTTCACATGAGACAAATGGGATTCCAAATAAAGGTCAGAACATGGCGATAGTATTACGAGGGGATTCTGTAATGGCTTTACCTTATATAACTTAATAAGTTCTGAATAGTTTCACGAATTGTTCAAACCATTTTGCTTACTATAATTATATATGTTTTAACAAACAATTTTTTTCTCATTATCGCACTATGTTTAGAAAGTCAATACAATGTTTTGTATGGTTAGCAATCATAACTACCACCATCGTAAACATCATCATCATCAACAACAACAACAACAATAACAGGACAGTTTCAGACCACGAAAAATTTAACATTTGCTATAGCTAGTGAAAATACGTCCATGAATATAATATTTCAAATGATATACGTATAACAAAAAAGATTGATAATTTGGCACGTTGAGCGAACAGGACAAGCGTATTAATTGTACAAATCTTCTATTATAGCATTAATATTTTGTATAAAGTTACAAAAGAAAAAATGAAAATGTTTTTTTTTTTTTGTTAGGCATCTGTTTTATAAAGAAATTAACACTGGTAATATTACATTATAAAGTGGATAAGTCATACATCTCTGTCCCGTCTAATTCTAATCATCAGTTTAGTGGATAGAATAAGAATTTAACCGCAACATATTTGTTAACAAAAGAGCAATTAATGTGGCACTTAAACAGTTGCTGCTTGGGTTCTGCTCCCAGTCGCCTATGTCTTCTTTTAAATAAAGAAATTACATAGTTTTGCCAGTGATAATTAAAATGCATATTATTCAGAAGTAGAAAGAAAGAACGAAAAACACTAACCGCTTTTTGTGTTGAAAGAATAATACCAAATCCAAGAAATATTAAAATTAAAAAGACTCTCTTCATATTTCACTAGCGTAACTTGACAAAGAACAGTTTCGTTTTAATGTTATTTTATTTAGCTGCGCAATTCGGTTCATTTTACTTCCAGGTTGAGTCAGAAAAGTGGGTGGTGTGCGTTAAACTTATCAAAAAATGTATGCTATAACAATGTAACATGAGAGAGTTGATAAAGCCATCTAATTATTTTTTAAATGGGTAATCTCCTTCACTGTTTGGCAAGGCCATTTCACATTAGCGCAAAAATTATCTCACCTCCCCCTTTGAAAGAATCGATTGATTGACTTATTTTGGATTTTTTTTTAATTTAAAGCATATATGCTTTATTTAAAGCATTTTTTTTTCGATACCAGGAATTTTAATATGTGCAAATAATATTCAAAGTAGGGGAATCTAAGCGTCGCTTATGATATACATGTATATCATTTTTTTACATTTGTAGCTATCCCTGAATCTTGCTTGCATTATAGGAATAAAGCCACCTGCAAAAGACCCACTTTCTATCCCGATTGACTATTTTTTTTTATTTCTTTCTTTATTTGTAAATCTCGATTTTAAAGCTTGTGCTTCATATTTAGTAGACAAACTCATACTTCCATCGTAATATATGACTGCGACTATTCATTTTTGTTGTGAATAGCTTCAAGCGTCTAGATAAGAAAACACATTTTAGATTTTAAATAAAAAAGAAACAAAAACAACACATAAAGTTTGTAAGTTTATGACTGAAACACGATATTTCAACCAACTTTATACCCCGGAAATAGACTAATTCTTTGAGTTATTTCTGTTTGTAACAATTGATTGTCTCGTGGTAGTTTGAATCACTTAATCAAATGTAAACTGTTTTTCTTAAATTATCACACAAACAGCATGAATATGTGGATACTTCTTTGACGCACATCAACATATGAATATTTAAACAATTTAGATACGAAAGAATTATAATAAATAAACATGCATTTAACATTTCAGCCAACAGTTTGTTTTTAATGACTATCTGCAGAATCCCTAACAGTAAGATTCGAATCCTATTGAAAAGTTTAATTCTTATAACGAGGTTCTTAATCAAGTCAAAACGCACCTATTTCACAAACAATATTGATACACCTGGGTATATTTGGCAAAAGTAGTCTTTCAACGTTGTAGAAAAAAATATGTGTCAATATCAACTTGATCGCAATAATGATATTATAAAACAGGTTTATTTTATTGGTAAGAGTGACATTCTGTTTAGCCTTCAAATCTACGCAAATCAATTTCAATTACATTCCTGCATGCTTTTGTAATCTACCATTCATGTGATACAATTATACTTGTGCAATATACCAAAAGAACTTATGTAACCTTTTCATTTCACAAGTACATTTATAGACCTCTTACAGATCATGGCAAACTGTTTTAGCATACAAATGAACACTTTGATTTAATCGTTAGCATAAAAATGAACTTTTTAATTGAAGCATTGATCAATGGCTTATTTTCAAAATTGGCCTTCACGGAATCCTCTATATGGGCGCTTTTATAGTTTTTTGCTTTGAATACTTGTGTACAGTAAGCTGCCGTTTATATTACCATTATTTGTGAATTTGATAAATGATGTATAGTTTATTAAATATAAGTAACGAATTCTCAAATATCATAAATTATTGATTAAAAAAGCAAAAAGCATAAAAAAAATCAACAAAAAAACAATGAAAGAAAAAAGAATAACAAACATAAAAAATATGTAAAAACACATATATCACATACTTATAAAAGAAGATTCTTGTTAATACAATACAAATATGGGACTTAAAACTGAAAACAAAATGCACCTAAAAATGTTGTTCTAAGAAGAAGACCTGAAATATTTTCTAAACTTAATTTTAAATAAGATATTGTTTATGTGTCGTGGTGCTGTTGGAAGTTTTCACTCTGGATCACGGCAGTTAGTCACATTGAATTTACCAAAGCACAGTTCAACCGTCACACCGTGCTTAAGTGTCTTTTATAAAAAAATAGCATATTCCATATCTTGCAATCATAGTACGAAATTGACTATAACCAAAAGCTTTTAATATTTTTAGGCACGAATGAGCCATGTTCACTAGCCCTGGTTCTGTATTTGCGCACAGAATCCAGTGTAACAAAATATTGACACATGCAGTCAGGGGATTAATCATACTTACCTTTAGCTACCATGAAAAGGTCTAATTTGATCCACTCTTTTGGAAACCGTTATTCTATCCAAGGAAGTAAGACAATGTCTTTCAATATGTTACATGTACCAAGGGGTCAAATTTTGAATTAGTACATACCGGAATAATTTATTCTGGTTAATCTTTAGCTTGGCTTTCATTAATTTAAGAAACTCCACTGAGGTCCAAGCCCCTTAAAATATGATGGTATTCCTTACATAAATCATCTTGGACACTTAAAACAGAAAGATATGCAAAAGGTAATTAAGAATAAATTTAAAATAATATTTTTTGTGCTATTCTTAGCCCGATTTTAGTGTAAATGTTGCGACAAATTTCAATATTGTGTCGTTTTTCCAATAACGATGATAATTCTTGAAAAAGAGCTAATTATTTGATATTTTGAACACAAGTTATTGGTCAAGACCCTCATCCAATGGAACATTAATCTCGAGAAATTATTTCCTGTCCCGAAATGTCATAGTGGAGGTCCGTTTAAGTGTACACATAATACCAGAAGGAATGATAATAGTGAGAAATGACTATGAATTGTTGTTTTCGTAGTCGTTTGATAAGTTTTTAAAATAAAAAAAATGGTTTTAAACCATTCATCGCGCTTAAATTTCATGAATTTTTGTAACTTGTTTGTTTATTGCTTATACAAGGAAGTGAAATATGACATACGCACAAAGAAACCAAAACCATTAAACTGCGTATTGACGAATAATCAATACATTTTCAAAAGCGTTTATTATAAGCAGGAAAGAGTTTCAATGGGGTGGATAAACCAGCCGACGTTTTTTTATGAACAAAGATATTTTGAAAATATTGACCTTCAGTTTCAGAGAACAGCACAAAAGACGTATTTATAATCGGATCGTGAATCAGTGACTTATTACATAGGTGATTAACTTATCAATGGTCTTCACAAAGTGATATGCATCATATATGTATTACAGATTTTTTTTCTTTCAAAGAAATAGTTGTTTTGAATAAAGAACATAAAAACACATGTTTAAATATCGAAGTTTAATCACTAATAGAGCAAATATTATTGAAAGGCGGTTGAAAAATTAGATTGATGAAAGCATTTGTAGCCGGATGAAATGGGGCTTTTAAAAGACGCTAACAGTATATTTATAACTCTGCCTTTATTCCTTTTAAGGATAAAGGAGCTCCAATCAGGTCTTAAATCTAGTAAATTTGAAAATCCTTCATAGATACATAGATAATCTTGGGGACCTAAAATGAAATAAAATATGACAAGAGACAATTAACAGATATACTCGAAATTAGATTAAAAGCAATCGTTTCAAGTACGACTCCTAGCCTATTTGAGTATAGAGCTTTTAAAACCTTTTCATATTTAGGTCATTTTCATTTATTTGCACGATAAAATGATTATCCTGAAGAAGAAAAAAAAACGGATTCAGCGAATGCTCTGAAATTTTGCATACGTGTTAATGGTATAGACCTACCTCAAATGGTAGAAAATTTTGAAAAATTATTCTAGTCCCGTCATGGAAATAAAACCTCAGTGGTGTCACTGCAGAGAAAAGAGTTAGGTTGTTTTACATCTGTTTTGTTTGAATATCTAATACAATTGTAATCGAGACAGAACAGACTTAACTATACCTGAACAATATGGCTTGAGCATAGCAGTTTCTAGACATCACACATATTAATTAACAACATTAAATTGAAAATACAAAACAAAACTAATTCAACAATAATCTTATTGATTTAATCAATCACATAGAACACTAATATTTTCACTTATTTCCTTTTTAACTACTCATTTATGAATTATTATTTTCTACTTGTAAGATGGGTATAATGATCATTAGGTCTTGAACTTATAGGCGGCGATGAGCAAGTTATTTTACGTCTATGTCGTTAACCTAAACCATTTGTTCTCGAATCGAGAATTGCAGTCGGTAGAAAGTTGAATATAAATTCATTACCCTTAATACAAATTTAATACCCTTAATGCACAGCAGTATAACAAAAATATATTTTAAGGACGAAATGCACAAAGTTATAGACGATAAAAATTATTTAGTCGACTTCTTTTGCAAAAGTGGAGAATATTGTTTTCTGTTTTAATTGCACTCAATATTCATTTTTTTTTATCAAAAGAAAAAAAGACAGGGTTTCACGCACTAAGTGCATTGATGTCCAGATAACACTTCACCAGCGACCCGTATTAATATTACAGTTCAAATTTTACACTATATACACAGTAAGACGATATATTAGCCGATATTCACGCAGATTAACGATCCGTTGATACAGGTTGTCTAAGGGACGATGATATCATTTAAAAACATTTAAAAGAGTTTTAAACAATTAAAAAGCATATAAAACAAATATTGGCAATTTAATTGTTTAAACAAAACCTCGTGACGATGACGACTTAAATAAAAGGGGAATTTTAGATCGGTTTATTTATGTTACAAATATAGACTTTATGAGCTGGTTTTCAAAGATGAACACAAAAGAACACGTCATTCTGTCAATTCAGATAATGATTCAAAATCAAAGAAGAATGTTGTCATACAAAATATACAATGCAAATCAGCTTTTTATCTGAAACTTTGACGTAATTTAATGCCAAAGAATTTTCATACCTTTATTTGAGTCTAACATTTTATGACACCGCATTTTATATCTGTTGCATTTCATATGGATTTTTTTAAAGATTTGATTACTTTATAAACATGTGGGCTTATTTTCAATATTGTGTAAATTGAATGAATTATAATTTTGTTAAATTTAAATTAGAATGTTATTCAAATTTCAAACAAAATTATTTGAGCCGCGTCATGACAAAACCAACGTAATGCGTTTGCGACCAGCATGAATCCAGACCAGCCTGCGCATCAGCGCAGTCTGATCAGGATCCATGCTGTTCGCTTACAAACCCT